TATAATTAATATAAATATTAATTATAAGCTAGAAATAAGTTATATAAGTTATATAATAAAAAAAATATAAATGTTAAAGAAATTAAGCTATAAAATATTTAACTAATTAAAAATTTAGTTTATAATTTAATTTTTTTTTTTCTTTTATATATATAGTTTATAGCTTTTATAATTATAGTCTACTTTTTAATTCTTATACTATTTTATTTATTAAGCTTACTAGGTTCTTTAAAACTATTAAAGCTTATATTATTATAATTACTTTTACTTTATTAAGTATATAATATATATTATAGCTATTTAACTAATATAGCTTTTATTTTCTAATTAATAAGCTATTAAATCTAAAAAGTACTTTCAATATAATTACTTACTTAATTTTATTTATAAAAGTAATTTAATTATATATCTAGCTTCTAATTTTTAAATCTATTATATTTTTATTAACTAATTTAATAATATTTTCTTTAAAGATAAAGTTAAAATTATAAGCTTTTTTACTTTTATTATTATTATTTATAGCCTAGACTAGTATTCTATATAGCTACTTTTCTTAGTATTTTAATAGTTTATTAGGATTTTTTAAAATTATATTTTAATATTCTTTAGAGTTTCTATAATCCTTATAATTATTTTTACTTTATATTTTATTATAAATTAAATAATAAGTTAATATAATTAAGTATACCTATTTTATTCTTTTTAAAAAAAGAAGAAATAAAATTTAGATAAGTAAATAAGCTATTTAAATAATAATAAAGAATATATTAATAATAAATATTAATTATTTATTATACTATATTGTTTTTTAGCTCTAACTTATATACTTATATTACTTTTTTTAAATACTTTATTTTTAGCTTTATTATAAAGATATAAAATATTTAATATAGTAGTAAAGCTAGTATAGAGAAAGTAAGAAAGTATATATAGTAGTTTATTTAGTTAATAGTAATATAAATATAATAAAGGAATTATAATATACTTAAATATATACTTTTAAAGAAATTAATTTTTAGAAAAGTAATAAATAATTAATTTTCTACTACTTATATTAAGTCTATTTATGTTTTATAAACTAATTAAATTATATACTTAAGAGGTTATATTATAATAATATATATTTTAATATTAATATATATATTATATGTTAAAGTTAAATAAAAACTATATAAAACTATTTAATAGTTATTTAAAAGAATATTATAGCTATATATTTTTTTATTTTAAATATAACTATTTTACTAGTATTTATATTAAAAGTATTTAAACTTTATAATTATAGTTTTAAAATTAAAAAACTTTAGAAATTTTTTTATATAAGTTTATTTAGAAATATTTTTTATTTTATTTATATAACTTATAATAAAATTTAACTTATTATAAGAACTATATATTATTTATAATTTAATAATATCTATAAAATAACTAATAAGGTTTATTATAAAAGTTAGTAATTTAATATAAATAAAGTTATTAATATAGTTTTAATCTAAGAAACAAAACTTTCTTTTAAGAAAAATAAAAATATATATATAAAAGAGGCTATATTTCTAAAACTCTAATATTTAAATATAATTAATTATAGTACTAAAAATCTTTTATAAATTCTTAAGTAAAGCTTTATATTTAATATTAAAAATATATATAATAAAATTAAAATAATTTTTTAATAAGTATTTATTTAGCTTTTATATAACTTCTAGTTATTAAAAGTTTATAATAAATATAATAAATACAATAAATATAATAAATAATATAGATTTATTAAAGTACTATATAATAGCTATACTATTATAATATAGCTTTTCTATAAATTAATTATAATTTATAAAAGATAAAAATAAAATTATATAATAATTAATAGTAAAGAAATTAATATTATTATAAGTTACAATATCTTAAATATTATTATATATATCTATATAAAACTTTTTCTAGTTATATTAAATATAATTAAAAGTTATTTAATTAATAATTATAAAATAATTAACTATATATTATTAAAATAATCTTATACTATTTAATATTAAAACTAATACTATTAAGTATATTTTATTTATATATATTTATTATTATTATTATAAAATTATATAAATATATTCTAGTTTAGTTTTCTATATAGAAAAAATAATATATAATATAAAAATATATATATAAAATTACTTTAATTTATTTTAATAAATAGCTAATCTATATAGTTAAAATATTAAGCCTTATAGTTTTATTAGGGATAATAATAAAGACTTTATTACTTATAAATAAGTTTAGATAATAAAGATTATTTTATTTTTTAAGAATTATTTTTATTTATAAATTTAATAAGATTTAAAAAAAGCCTTATTCCTATTAATATATTTTTAAATACTTTTATATAATTTTATAAATATTAATAAAAAGATTATAAGAATTATAAATTATTTAAATAAGTTATTTTAAAAAATTATATAATTATTATATATAAAAGATTATAAAAATATACTTATATAAAATAAAGTAGCTAACTTATAAAAAACCTAAGTAAACCTTATAAATAAAAAAGCTTTCTATATATTTAAAAGGACTAAATTTTTTTAATTTTATATAAATATTAATTAAAAGTATATATATAAAAAAAATAAAAGTTAATATATTATTATAATTTATTATATACTAGTAAAAATATATTATATTATTTATATTATTTTATAATAATCTATAAGAGTAATAAAGGTTTAAATAGGTTTATAATAACCTTATTATTATAATTATAATAGATATTAAAATAATATATAAATAAATAAATAGCTTTATAATTTATTTATTTATTAGCTTAATATAAAGCTTTATAGTAGCTATATTTATATTATATAAAACTAGTATTATATAATATAACTTTATATAAATATATAATATAAGCTTTTTTTAAACAACTAGTATTAATAATTAGTATAATATATATATATTATTATATAATAGCTTAATCTATTTATAAAAAAGCTAAAAAAGTATATAAAAAATTAAAAAAGCTTTAAAGAAAGTTTATATAAATCTAAAGATAAGTTAAAAGTAATATATATTAATCTTAAGATTATATAGCTTATAATAAGTCTTTAAAGCTTTATAAAGAAAGGAGATTAATATATATAATTATAGGTTAGTTATTAATATATTAGAAATATTTATATAGTAGTTATATTAAAGTTTATTAAATTATAAGATAATATAAAAGATTAGGTAAAAAGAAAGGTAATAAAAAGTAATTTATTCTTAGACTATAATTATTTATAATTACTTAAATTAGCTATATTTAGCTTTAATTAATATATAAAAAAATCTAATAAAAATAAAAATAAATATAATTAAATATTTATAAAATATTTAACTAATATAAGATAAGTACCTATATATATAAAATAGTATAGGTTTAAATATTTATTATAATAAGCTATATAGGTTTATATAACTTAATAAAAATAGAAATAAGAAGAATTTTTATATTATTTATATATTATATAAAGCTATAAAAATATATTATAAATAATATAAAAAGCTTATAAAGTATATAAAAAAAAAGAAAAAAAGAAAGAAAATTTAAATATATTATTTTATATTAATTTATATTAATTTATTTAGGAAAAATAAATAATATATAATAAAATATAAATAAAAATATAAATTAATAAAGATTTTTATAACACTTATATTATATAAAATAATTATTATAAATTTAAACTTAGGTTATTAAATATAAAAACTTTTATATAAAAGTTATATAAATTCTATATAAAGATATAAAGTTATTAAAAGGTTAGAATTTAATAATTTAATAATATAATTACTATTTTTATTAGCTTATTAAGACTAATTAAATAGCTATTTAATAATAATATAGTATAAGATTATAAATAAGTTACTTTCTATTCTTATATTAATTTATAAATAACCTTATAAAGTTATTTAAAAAATAAAGTAGAAGATATAATATAAAAGCTAATATTTATAGCTTTTTATAATATTATTAGTATTTACTTCTAATAGTATATTCTTTTACTAGATTTTAGTAAAGCTAATATAAGATTTCTTATAATTTATTATTATTAAGAAAATTATAAATAATACTATTATTAAGCTAATATTATATATAGCTCTTTTTAATATATTATAATTATTTTATATTTCTTATAATTATTTAAAATTTTATATAGATTTTATAGTATAGCTTTTATTAGTAAAGAGACTTTTAAATATAATATTTCTCTTATATAATATATTAATATTTAAAGCGACTTTAGGTAGCTAGCTATCTTTTTAAGAATAATATCTTATATTATTCTTATCCTACACTAGGTTGGAGGTACCTTTATATAACCCTCTAAACTTACTAGTATAAAAATAAAAGAAAGGTGTAGCTATATTATATATACTAAAATCTCCATCTCTTACTTTCACTTACTGTGGGACTTGTCTTAGATGTATGTGAAACACATAGGTAATACACGACTGCTCCCAATCTTGATTCCATCCTCTTAAGTATTCATCCAACTACATGTAAGCACTCTTGTCGAATACCACAAGTCCCGAAACAACCTTCCCATCCATCGTATCATGTGTTTTTGTTGTCAATCTTCTATATTCCTTGTCTCGTGGAGGCCGGATCTTTAGGCTTCAACGTCGTCGTTGACGTAGACTCGCACGAAATCGTCATTCACAAGGGGAGTATCAGAGATGCTAAGAGTGGGCCCGTAGGCACATGTGGGAAGAGAGGATTGCGTGTGTGCGCAGGTGATTGGCGTGTCGTACGCTAGTTGCATGGTAGGCAAGTTGTGCTTTGAGCGTGGTCAACTACTTAGGGTTCGAAGAGGTCAGGAGTGCGTGCAAATTCCATAATTAGCACATAGGCTCAGGCCAAGGCCATCGATGAGAGAGGGGAAGACTGTTCAGGTGTAGGCTAAAAGAAGAATTGCAATATAGTAGACGCGAATGCTTACTTGAGTATTTTTCATTTTGGGGATTCCTAGCTAGCTCCCAAGCTCATTTACACTCGTAAATAGCCCTACAACCCTCTCTTTCTGCTGCTGGCAATAGCCAAACACCTGCTCCTTCAGCGCCCTCCCCACTTGCTGATTCTGCTCAATCTCTGCCCACAACCTGTGCTCCTCCGCTTCACAATACTTCTTCACCCGTTGCCAATTACCCAACACATCTCCCAGCCGACGCTGTTCTTTCTGAACTTTCTTCATACCGCTGCATATCTCTGCTATAGTGTCAGTAATACTATCCTCCACTCGCGCGCGTCCAACATCGGCGTGCTTGGCGTCAAGCGTGCTGAGCATCTGCTGGTACATAGTTTCTTGCTCTTGAAGGCGGGCGATAGTAGAGATGTCAGCAGTGACTCTTGATTCCTTTCTAGATACCCAAGCGCTCGCTAACCTTAGCCCTTGCTGCAAAATTTTGATCTCGGCGTGAAGTTCTTCAATACGTGATGATAGTTGCTGCGTTCGTTTATGCAGATACTCGGAAATGGCTTCGGTATGCTGCAATGTCGCTGCCAACAGGTCGCTAAACGAGGCGTCGGGAGACAAGATTGATGCTACTCTGGTATAGTCAGGTGTAAGATCATCTTCCATGTTCTCCGTTAGAGAGATTCGCTGGCTGCATGGGTCGATTAATGCTTGGAAGAGTGATCTCCAAAAGTGATCATGGAAATCATTGGAAGGCGTAGGCTCCCCGATTACTCTTGTCAGTGCCCACACAAGACAGAAGATCCCGCAGTCATCGGCATTGTGTTGTTGTAAACCGTTTGAGGCCGGCGTGAAACTCCACCATATTTGGTCGTCAATTGTATTATGTTGACTAAGAAACTCGCCAAACGCCTCCAGTGTGGCTTCTGCTTCGGTCTTGTGCCTACGGCTGGAGGCGCTCGCGGCAAGAGAGTCGTACCAAACAATGACACCGCTGGAGATATCCATATCTGCTATCGTCCAGTGGGAATTGTGATGTAAGGGTACGATTATGGTTCGTATGCCGGCAAGCTTGAGATGTGGCTTCGTTAGGACCGCCTAAAGCTCGGTAATCGACAAAAAAGAAGGGTCTATGCAACGAGTGTGTTCGAGAAAGAGATTGTTAAGGACGAGTTGTATAGCTGTAGTACTTAGCCAATAATTTAGCTGGAGCAAGGCTAGGGCACCTTTGAGCATATTTGGTAGTATTTTATGCCTATTATTAATAAAATACGTATTAGAAATAGCGACGTCTAAAGAGCAGGGTATAGATTTAATATTGCTAAAATTAAGTTCAATACTAGACTCTTTAACTATAAAAGGAACAGTTGTATTAAGAAATATATAGTTTTCGCGTAATTCTCTATATCTGCTATCTTTAAGTGTAATACGCTCTAGCTTTAATATCTGCAGCAATATATTGAGCTTAAATATGCCTTTATTGAATTATAATATATAAGAATTGTCCTTTAACATTATTGGCAAATAATTAGGCATATTAGAAGAAAAGCTATAAAAGTTATCCTTTCTTAGACTTAGCTAACCTAAGTTTTTAAAGTTAGACAATAATCTATATAAATTCCTCCTAACTTCGCTTAAAAGCGCATTTGCATTGTTTACTAGCTTTGCTTTAGCTATCAATATTATTTAATATAAATTATATAATGTTAGCAAGCCTAAAAGTATTATATTACTGTTAATTATAGTATATTTACCCCTATTAAGTTCTTAACTTATTACTATACTAGGTAACTAACTTTGTTTAGCAGCTATTTAGGCATCTATACTAGTCCTTAATATTTAGCTTTTGTTAATAGTAGCTAGTATTATAAGTAATCGCTACGCAAGATTAGTTGCCTATTTTTGCTTTCTGCTTTTTATTTAGCTTACTATTGTTTAGCTTTTAACTATATCTATTATAATGTTAATATTTTTAATTGCAAGCTATAACATTATATTAAGCAACTTACTTAGTTGCTTCTTTTACTAGGCTTTAAAAAGAGCTACTAACTTATTAAAAAGCGCTTTACTTGTAAGATTCCTAATCTTATTTATTAGGTAGTATAATAGATAATAGTTGAAATTTAGTACCTTAAGCAATTCGTAATATCCTTGACTAAGCTAATATATTTTAACTAAATTATTGATTTTCTTTAGACAAGATATATAAACTTGTTTTTTCTAAATAATGCTTTCGATAAGAGAATTATAATAGTCTTATATTGCTTGCTGCTACTAAAAGACTTCAGCTAGTAAAAGCTTATTATGTTCTCCCTTTTATATAATATAGTTCTATATAGTATTAGCTATCTTAGCGCGCTCTAAAATATAAATAGTAAATATAGAATTCTTTATATTATTCTTAGCTAGACTTACTATTTTTTGTTTACTTTACTTTATTAAAAGCTTTTAAAGCTATATTAATTCTTGTCTTATATTCTGTTAATTTAGTTTTAGTAAGTAAGCTAATTAATTCTAAAGATAGTACTAAAAAGTATATTATAGTTTAGTATAGTATTTACTTTAGTTCGTTAAAAAGAAGGTTAGTTATTGCTAAAAAGTCTATATTTTCCGCTAAGAGATTTCTTAGCAAACTATATAGAAAGCAGTAGTTTGTTTTCGCGCTATATAATTTTGATTTGCTTGATTTAGAATAGTATATACTTTATAAAGCTAAAGCTCTTTCTTTATTACTTTTTTAATTACAACTAGTATAGGCGTAAGCTAGCTACTTTAGCGTAAGTAAGTTTAAACTAAGTTTTCTTTATTTATAAGAATAAAAGTATATAATAAAGTCTAGCATAGCAGTAAATTTATATAGTAAAGCAATGCAAAAAGGTGCTAAAATTAGTAAAAATACTAGTATTTCCTGTAAAAAATAGATAGATCTATCGACTATAGTAAAGTTGAATAATTTAATTAAGAAGCAACTAAAGCTTTTATAGCTATATTTGCCTTTCGAACAACCTATTATATTCTTCGCTAAATAAAGAGCTTAAAACTAGGCATAAAATTAATAAATTGAATACAATAACTAGTAGGACGACAATAAGAATACTAGCTAACTAGCTAAGCGCTATATTAGGGCTTATTTTTGTTAATCTTAATAATAAGCTTTTATTTTCTTTTATTCCTATATCTGCTAGAGCTATTAAACCCTTTTAGCAAGGTAGAAAAGCTATTATATTTAGCCTATATAATATAGAAATAAAATGATTATTAACTTTAAAGAATTGAAAATTTAAATAAAACTAATAATAGATACAATTGTTACTACTATAGAACTCAACGTAATAAATTGCTATAATAAATATTGTTTTTATCCTATCTATATAATAGTAATAGCTTATAAAAAGCTATAGCTTTAAGAGAGTATACTTTAGACTAGCTATAGTTTATTAGTTTTTATATACTCTATATAATAATATAATAATTATAAAGGATCTATACTAATTAATAGGATTATAATTATAAATGCTTTATATTCCTAGAGGTTAATATTAAAAAGCAATAAGGAGCATTGTTTCCTACTGTATAGACTAAAAAGAAACGTTTAATTGCAGATGACCTAAGGAAACTAACAATTCAAAGTCCTTTAGTATACATTTAATATAATTAGGCTCGCTTAAAAGACGTTCTAGGAGTCTATAACCTAGCATCTATAATAATATTAATGCAGGTAGTTTAAGGCTTTCCTTTAATAGAATATATATAAGCTTATAAAGTACCTTGCATACATAAAAAAAGAGTCTTATCTATAGGCTTAACGCCTTTAAATATTATATGCTGTTAGCGAGACAATTATAGCCTAGAGATATCCCTGTCTTAAGGATAGGAAGCCTACCAATATAGCTGTCACTAGGGCGGCGCTGAACTTTTTAGGTTTTATTGCACTCTTTAGTTTAGAGACGGCTATGCTCCTCGCCTTGAATCTCCCTTTGGATACAGAAGGCCCGACTTCAGGGCCGTTTCTCGTGAGAGTACGCCTATATTGGGCTTATTTGTCCCGCCATATTCATTCCGGAGAGAAATAGCCTATGATGAGCTGACGCTGGTTGGTCTTGTAATGCTTTTTCTCGAGGCAGCAAGCCAGAGAGACTTTTGGAAGGACGTCTCCGAGAAAGTTATTATCGGGCGCCTTGAAGCTGCACGTGAGGTTTCATATTTGCATTTATAATGGTTGTAGGGGAAGAAAGAGAGCAACAATGAAGAAAGCGTAGTCCTGACTTGTCGACGCTAGGTCCAATGAAAGTAATGCCACATCAGGTCTTCGGAACGCATCTTGATTCTTGCACGATGAATCTGCCACAATCAGATCTCAAATTGAGAATGCGGATAGTGACATAGGACATCTCGAGATTGCATGTCTGCCTCCCTGCGCTACAGTCCACCTTTAAAGGCGTGTAGCGCGGTCCTACAACGGCAGAAAGAGACATGAGGTATAAAAAGAATGATTCAATCTTTCAGCTTGCTTTAAATAAAGTCTGAGATACGGTGAACATCAAGGCTCAAGAAAGTACGCTGGACCGAACAGCTTGTCATTGTATAAGGAGGAATCCTTATTGAAGAGATTGTGCATATATAGGGCCTAAGTGTCGGACATCAGAGATAATGTGGCTATCATCTAACAGACCGAAGTTGCTCCTCATGTCAAGCTCTGGGCGGTGACACTCAGTCTTGAGAAGCAATTTCTTCAGTCCCGCTTATCCGCCAGCTGGACAGACATCTGCAGGTAGAGCAGATTCCAGCGCAATCGCGCAAGTAAACTGCATTTAGAAAATTGGATCTTGAAGATGACACACCGTTCGGGCGGCGTCGTGCCATGAATTCAAACAGCGAATTGACCGTGGAATTTGGCAACAGTCCAGAGTCCTCTTGAAGCTCTGCGGGGGAGAGCTATAAGACGACTCTCCGGTGATTCTAGGTTGGTCGAAAAATGGCTAGCAAAGAAAATCATCCAGCCAAACGACGTATGCAGCTCTTGGAAACTCGGCGGGCTTTGGGTCCACAGTGCAGACCAATTGCAAAGCTCGAACTTCTTGATTATGATTGGCACCAGGAATCATTCGTAGACAGCATCGTGTGTTGATGTTGCACTGTCACTGGGACGATAACGGCGACCTGATTATCCCGAGTAGATTCTTAAAGCGTCCGTCTTCCAAGTTTGACCTGAAACCGATGAGATTACTTTGTCTTTGGAGAGAAGATGCCACAGAAACCTCTGCCTTATATCGAATGTTGATCTCAGTCTTCATTCAGGCAGTCAATAGTAATTGAATGACAGCTGAGATTCATTCGCCATATGTCCAGCCAGCCCAAACCCCGCCTGTGCTCGATCCTTGTGCCATGAAATGGTATGCTCAGACGCGGACAAATATGCCTGTCGAAGAGTGACTTATCGACAGAGATCTTGTTGGGTTGAGCTGCTGAAAGACAAACTATGATGTCGAGGTCGCGCAGATCGAATCTTTCGCCTATAGACTTGATTAGTCTACCTCCATTCTCCAGCCCGTCCCTTATGTCTGTTTGAACGTTGTCAACGGCCCTTGTTGGCATTGAAATTCTGCGGAGATTGTCCACGTCTGACCTTGAGTGAATACAAGTCTCCGAGAGCGACGCCACAGGAGAAAGTCTAGCCACGCTGTTCTCAATATTACCCACGTAGCTTTGTATAACTCTAATCGTGACTCTCACATCGTTGAGTTGAAATATTTGAAGCTTTCTAGAACTGAGTCGCTCTCGAGTGCGTGCCAAATATCTGATTCCGTTGATCTCCTACCCCTCACAGGGGGGGTTGTGGTTGATGAATTAGGGAGACATTGGTCGAGTCTTTGTGAGCGGAAGCATTCAGCTGAGATGTTCATGGCCCCTGACCAAGCCCGCCTGTGTAGCTTCACACAAGTTTAATCTTCTAGGCCGTTCTTTTCCCGAGAAGCCTACGTGCCCGTGCTATTGTTTACAACGAGCGTGGGTTTGTAGGAAGGTTGACCGGCGGAGGGTGGCGTAGCTGAAGCTTGTAGAAGAGAATCTAGTAAAATGAAAAGGCTGCCGCAGCGTGGCGGTGGAGGAAGGTAGAATGGAGGGGAAGATTTGTTTGTTGTAGCTATCGTTGGCGGATTTGGCAAGAAGAACCGGGAGCAATGGCTGATAGTTTTCTATACAATAGACGTGGTATGTATGAAAATCAGGGCGCTACTAGGCTTTCCACGCCGCTGAAATCCTGATAGTATTAATGAATGAAAGTACAGCTCAAGATCACATCGCGCGCGCAAAACAATGATCGGCCAGGTTGAGGTGACTGATGATCTGATTCGTGGAGAGCCCCCAATCGAGTCGTTAAACAGACGAAATGCTACTAAGAAAGAGTCAAGTGAAGCGAGGTAACCAGCCGCCGTCAACGAGATACACGAAACCTGTGTTGTTGTGGAAATACGACGCGCCATGTCTACCTATCTCAATTGACCTATGTCGACTGAAGGCCTGATATCAATGATTACCTCCCACTTGGATCAGCATATAATTCTCCTTTTCCCTCCCCAACCCGGAAACCCAGCACCACCAGCAGCGCCAACCATGAAATCTCCACTTCGCCCTTACTGACCCTCCTCCTTTTTCACCTCTCCTTTGTATGGACCTTAGCACTGTCCTGCGCCGACCTACTTGCCTGCGATACTTGCCCCCTACCCATAGCCGGCGACATCTTCATCGATTGCTGGGAAAGACACGTGTGCGATGGGATAACGCGAAGATAAGTACTTGGTTCACGAGTAACCGAATTGATAGTGGAGCGCAATGTCGACCTGGTGTGTAGCCATCCCCGGAATGAGTTTCATTTTCGACGGGTTGGATGGGGAGTCTGTCTCGGGGGCTGATGGATTATGGACGGATAGGTGAGGACATCTTGTGTTGGCCGGGGAGTTCGGTGATCGTGGATTTTGAAAGGTTGGGTAGGTGGACGTGAGGGAGAGAAAGGGGGCGGGGGCGGATAGTGAAAAGAGGAGATCGAACCCGCTGTAGGAGTCCAAATAGTGGTGGTTTTGTTCGTTGATGATACGGCAATAACGGATCTCGATATACAAAAGGTATAAGGCTGAAGCAAGATCAGCAGCGCTCACACCGAGGTCGAACTTACTAAATCCTCTTCCCTATCAAGTAGGGAATTTAATTAGCGTCTCTTTCTCACTCCATCTCTCGCACTCCAGGCGTAATTTGCGACTTCCGACCTTAATCAACCCACCTTATGCATTAGACAGACGGCTTACACAGCCACTCTTAGATAGATAATTTTCTACCCATACAATCCAGACTCAATCTTCCATACTAGCCCCTCACCAACCAGATAGTCCAACCTCTTTGTCACTGATTCCTTCTCCCCACTAATGTGCTCTTTCAGCCCTGCCCATAGATGCCCTTTCCCCACGCTCTCGATTTTCGGCCGAGTGTCGTTGATACTCCATATCGTCAGCCCAACACGTGTCCATCTTACAGGCCCCGACGGTTCGGATCGTGTAGGGCGTGTGGTCGGATTCAAAAGCATACCTACTGCCCATCCCTCGCGAGCCTCGTCATTCGCTGCTGATAAGATTTGGATACCTAGCAATAGGATTTTCAAGTCGGGGCGGTCTTGGGTGAGCCAGCAGTGCGGGATAAGCTGGAAGTGGCGTGTGAGCCTGGACAGTCCATTTTCACCGAGTAGTCCAGCTGGACCGTCGCGTTGCCTAGCTCCCATGTGTTGGGCCAGTCACGTAGTAGTTGCCTCGCAAAGAGGCGGAAAGGTATAGTCCTTCCTTCAAATATTCCCCAGATATCATTGTTCAAATTGTGGGTTGATAGGACGGCCGTAGGATGGATGTCCTGCTGCAGCCGCTTAGGATGATAGAACTGTCTGCATTTATCAGGGATGGTCGATGTTTCATTGATGCGCCAACCCTTACCCAAAGCTACCGGGCCATTAAAAATGTGCAGCTGGCTTTGAATGGGGTATTTCTGGAGTAAGGTCATTCCTAGTTGATCAGAAAGCTCTGACAGTGTGAAATTTCGTCGGGGATCTGCATCTGAAGCGGAAGCTCCGAGCTGAAGATTGAAAATTTGCATGATGCCATATATGCGATCCTCTCGGCGTGTGGTCGTGCGGTTACTTGAGACTGTCAGTAGGCCCATGAGGTGTTTGTTGAAAAGCTCGAGAAGGCCACTTCTGGTGATCATCATGCTAAGACCAGAATCTTTGCTTAGCTGATGTATCTCTTCGTTGTGGTCAATAGCACCTGCAACAATATTGAAAGTTTCGCTCAAGTGATTGAGTAACCAAGGATCGAAGGAGCGCTTGTTCGCGTCACGAGATATCACATAGGCGTTTGGGGACAGATAGGTTTCTTGCAGCGTCCACAGAGATGAGAACCACGGATCCGCTAGTACAGCTTCTACTAGATCTCTCATGCTGGATACCCAGAGTGAGAGATCGGCTTTAGTGTAGAAGTCAGGGTCTACCATAATGCTGAATTGCAAATCCATTTTTACAGCCCAGCGGTTGATAGCATCGAGCGTAAAGGTCGTCAACCGTATGAAGACCCGCGATGCACCCCCGAAGATCTTTGCTTGACGGCCAATCTCCTCCGCTTGCTCCGGCGATCCTGTATTTTGATGAATGCAAGCCACATCAAGCCAGAGAAAGTCCACTCTTGGCGCCTCAACATCCGAAGGGTGAGGATCAACCGTATCTGCAATGACATTGTGAAAGTCCTCGCTGGTGAAGTGCGCAGGATTGATTCGGGGGATCGGCCATGTTGTTCCCTTGACTGGAATAGCAGTGACTTCGTGCATTTCATGATTCTTCAGGGCCCAGCGACCCCATGTGTAAGATAAGGCGTTGTACTTGGGGCTGCAATGTCCGTTATATGTGTTGCCAGACTGTCTCTTGTACGAGGTCATAGTGGATATATGTAACAGCCGTGTTGGCCAATGGCTTACTTGATCTGACGAAGAGCGCACAGAAGAACTTGATAGACGTTTCATAACATTCTACGCAAATGATGTAAGTAGGCTGAAGAAGCAGGACGTATAACGCTGATGCAGATGTTATAACGCAGCGCTTGTCGGTGTTCGGGACCAAAGCTACTTATTTGACTGGACTAACCATAGCTCATATGAGATAGTAGGTTCCATAAGACAAACACTATATAATCCTAATTTAAAGTTAGGATTCGGGCCAACCTAGTTAAAAAAAGCTTAAAGAAAGCTAAAGGCCCTTTTATATTACTTATAATAGGCTTTAGAAAGCTAAGATACTACTTATACTAATCTCTTATTTAACTTATATATAAATTTATTATATTTTTTATTTTTATTTAAATATAATATAATCTTAATAATAAAATTTCTTTAAAATTATTGGATTTATTATTAAATAAAATAATAAAGAGAACTAAAAATTAATTATTAAAATAATTTTTTTTAAATATATTAAATTTATTTATAATATTATTTTATTAATATTATCTTTATAAATAAAATTATTATTTTCTTTTAAAATAAATAATTTACTTTTTTTCTTATTTTTTCTTAATTTAAAGTTTAATAATATACTTAAAAATATTATAAAAATATATTTATATATTTAAAGTTATAAAAAATAATATTTAATTTAAAATATTAAGGTCTTAGAATAGTAATTTAAAAGATTAATAAAATTTTAATAATAAGTAGAAGTCTATCTAAGAATTAAATAAAAGTATAAATAAGTATATATACTAAGCCTAATTAGGCTTAGTGCCTACTTATTATAGATTATAATAAGAGTAGGATAGGAATATTTTAATTAGGTTTAGCTTAGCCTTACTTAGCTTAGTATAAGGCTTTACTTCTATTATAGCTCCTTAGATAGTTTTTAATTAATTTATTATTAACTAATTATATTATATATATTACTTATTAAAGCTTATACCTAGTGTATTTTCTTATAAATAATAGTAATATTAAAAGATTAAATATTATTATTATTTTTCTAAATATTAATTATCTAGAAATAATTCTAATATCTTAGCTAGTAACTACTAAAAAACTACTTTTTTCCTAACTTTTTTAGTAGGCTAATTAGCTTAAAATAATAGAAAAGAATAATAATCCTAGAATTATAGCCTTAAAACTAATTATAATATATTTATAATAATAACTATAAAAGTAAAACTAATTGGAACTTATACTTATTAAAATAATAATAAGTATACTAGCTAATATTATATTATAGCTTAGTATTTTTACTATATATATAAATATAATAAAGGAGTATTAATTATATTAATATTTATTATTATTTAAAAAGCTAGATTCTTAAAGCTAAATATATTAAAAAAAGATAAAGAAAATACTTATACTAGTAACTATAAGTACTTTTATAACTAATTACTTCTATTAATTAAATATTAGCTACTTTAATAGTAATATTAATAATAATATATATATATTTATTAAGTATTTAAAAGTAGTAATAAAAATTAAAAGTAAAAAAATAGTTTTAAACTATATTACTATTTTATTTATAGGCAAAGATTCCTTTAATAATATTTTTAATAAGGCTTATATTTAATAATAATATAAACTTTTAAAAGAGTAAAGATACTAAGCTTTAAAAACCTTAAGTATTTTAATTAAAGATTTTAAAAAGTACTTTAAGTAAATAAATAGCTGGCTACTTAACTATTTATTAAAGGATTACTATTAAAAATAGGACATCACTAGTAATAAAGATACTATTAAATAGGTAAACAACTTTTTACTAGTTATATAGTATCTTAGCTACTTAAACTATAATATAATTATCTTTATATATAATAGATTAGATAATAAGCTTAAAATAAGCTTATAAGCTCCTAATTTTTATATAAATTATATTAAATTCTTAAAGAAGTTAGTATATTTATAGCTAATTTAATATAATATTTATATTTATAAATAATAATAATATAAGCCTAGTTCCCTTAATAACTATCTTTTTTATTATTTATTATAGTAATAATAAAATTAATTAATAAAAGCGTTTTTTATTTCTTTTATTTATTTAAGTTTATTTAATTATCCTTTAAATTAACTTCCTTTAAAATAAAATTTTTAACCTTAATATTAATAGTATTAATTAATACTATTATTTTAGTAAATATAGCTAGCTTATTATATAAATATAGAGGAAAAAATTCTAGCTACTACTATTTACTTTATTAATAAAAGTAAGTAAGAATAGGAATATAATTTAATTATAGATATTTATATTAATATAATTAGTCCTATAGCTTATAGTCCTAATTATATATTATATAATATAGGAAATATATATAATAATAAGAAATATATATTTATAAATACTTAGTTTACTATAGAAAATAATTATTATTATTATTAAAATAGCTATATTTACTATTATAATAATTAATAGTTTATATAGCTTAAAGCTTATTAATAGCTTTTAAGTTAGTTCTAGATAATTTAAATTATAGTTTTTTAGTTATATAGTTATTTTATAATTTTATATCTCTTTATAACTTTTAAATTTAATTTTAAATAACTTCTAATTTTTAATACTTTTTTTAATTAATTAACTTCTATTTATTATTACTTCTTTAGTATATTAATATACTTCTCTAATATAATCCTTAGCTTAATTAACTTAACTTTACTATTACTATAGCTTTTAATAAAATAAGTTTTTCTTAGTATAAGAAAATTAAAATATAATTAAAACTTAATTAAATTAAATAAGGATAATTCCTTATAAGAGCTAAGATATAAATAAATAAAGATAAAGCTATATCTATAATAAGAATATTATTTTTTATTATTTTTAATAGTATATTATTATAGATTATAATAAGAATAAGATAAGAATATTTTAATTAAGCTTAGCTTAGCCCTACCTAGCTTAGTATAAGGCTTTATTTCTATTATAGCTTTTTAAATAGCTTTTAATTAATTTATTATTAACTAACTATATTATATATATTACTTATTAAGGTTTATACCTAGTATATTTTCTTATATTACTTTAAGTAAATACTTATACTAAGCTAGAACTAGAGCTATTATATAAAGTTTATATTAATAAATTTTTTTTCTTTTTTCTTTAATTTTTTTTAATATATTATATATAATAAAATATATTTAATATAATAAAAGTTATAATATTTAATTAACTTTTAAAAGATTATAACTATATTTTTATAACTTTAGTCTTAATAACATTTATTATTAAATTAAATATTAAAAAGTAATTTAACTTTTTTTTATATAATATTAAAATATTTCAAGACTTTATTAATTCTTTTTAAAAATATATAGCGATATAAGCGAGTGGTATGCCAACAAGAGGGTGGAGATGGTGAGCGAAAGGTTTGCCAAACAACGGAGGATAGACAGCTTACTACGAATAATGAAGCCGACCCGTAATGTGGGGACGTTGACTGACCAGGCGTCAATCTCTTTGAGTGAAATTCATGTTGTCCACAGCGAGAACAGGGTGTTTGCTGTACTACAACCTACAGTAGACGATGCTAGCGAGAGCGGCAGCGAGACATCGGTACCACAAGACTCAGTATTTCCACAAGGCACGACTGAGGATGCTGGCGATAGTGAAGACATTGTGCCAGACTCGCAAGTAGCCCCGCAAAAGCCGAAGAGGCGCAGCGGACGCAAAGGGAGTAAAAAGGCGGAACAAAGCGACGATAATGGAGCTCGAGGGACGAAAGCGCAAGGACCGGACTGGAAAGGGGGAAGCCTCAGAAGGTCCCCGAGGCTGGGAAGTCAGAGTCCTTCGGAAGGTCTCTCAGGTGGGTTACTCAGTCGTTGCGCGGTGTACGAAATGGTCCTTCATGCGATTATCGTGGACTTGTGGTCGTTACACCCAGTGGGAATCTCAATGCATCGTTTCACAGTCTAGGATGGGAGAACATTTACGAGCTTTGGATGGATGAGACTAGCTCCAAATCTAGAGGGTTGAGATACTGTTTGAAAGCTGGAAGATCATGTTGTCTCATCGTAGTGTCGATAGTCATTCGTTGGTTGGTCACTTTGTTCAACTGATAATGAATCCTTCGCTAACTCCAAATATTCAAATGGCATGACTCTTAGCCCATTTGTTCTTATCTCGTTCTCAGGGCTGACATTTGATGTGTCGATTTGGTTGAGAATCGACTTTATGGTAGTAATGCTCACTTCCAACCCCCCAACTCTCCTACCTTACGCTTCTCCACATCAGCCACCGCCGAGCCTTTTCAGCTATCCCTACTACTGATCCTGTTTTGGGTGAGCATTTTGCCTACCTCGCTGGGGCACTGAGGCAACAATCACGGCTATACCACGTCTGCACGGAGCTCATTCGCGATCTAGACCCAGCGTAGTTGCATTGGTTACAGGACAAACTACTGTTGAGTCACTGCGAAGGGACTTTATATAAGTCGAACCTCTGCTCTGCCTTCGTTTCCGACTCTTAAGATAGCCGTAGATGGGAGAGCAGGCTTTACAGTGGCGAATGCCATATGGAAGAATCTCTCTAATGTTTGAGCCTGACAGAAGATATTCTGGTCCTTACTGATGATGGGCGGTGTGAAGAAGAGCCAGTCTCGCTAGCAGAGATCTTTACTAAGAATTCCGCAAAGTTGTGACAGTAATCCTGCAAGAGGCAAGCCGTGTCCATACCGTCTTTTCTTTGGTAGGCGGCGTTCAAGCCGTGACTCCAATCTTTGTCTATGGTATTTGCCCCGCGGGCATGCTACGCCTGTTTATGTTTGTCGTGATGGAGTCAGTCTATCTAAATTGGCAAACGTTCCCTTGTCTGGGGCACGCAAAGATTGTGACAGCCTGTTCTCAACACAAACAGTACATTAGGCAGGTGTTGTGGTCTTATTGTCTGCCTCTAATACTTTATACCGTGGAAAGTATCAATACTCACCTTCCCATCTTACATTTCTTACATTCGTCCACTCCATCCCTTACCGTTCGCATTATTATCAGAACTTAGCATATTCAACGCTATCTTTTTCAAGCAAGCAATAACAATTGGCAAAGTCCATCAGAATTCCTTTCGGGGATCTCGGTATTGAGGATGAACTTTTCAACAACCTCCAAGATGCTGTACCCGGGCTCACTAGGTCTATATATCGTGAATTGGAGATTACATGCTCACCAGCAAGTGCAACATTTGCACAAAGCGAAGAAGGCTTGCAAGCAGAACGAATGGAAGAGATGTGCGCAAAAATCGAGGCCAGTCGTGACACTTTCAATAGAGCTGTTGAGGAAGCCATAAAACGCCGCCGAGATTCAGTTGCCGCGCGGAAAAGCGAAGATAATCACTGGAATTTCTTTAGTAGACTCTACCAGCGACTGCTAAGTGTAATCGGCCGGGTAACTGACGCTGTGACTATGAGCGTTATCAGATGGGCCTATGAGCACGCAACTCCTACGAAACTCCTCACGGCAGCTTTCGTCATTGCAATCATTGATATACTTGAGCGTAGGTGGTCTCGCCAATAGTCTGCGGGATCGGAGGCTTCGAGTGGTCCACAAGGACCACCTCCGGACGAAGGTCAAGCATCTTCATCTGGAAAGCAGGTAACACCAAGCTCTGATCTATCGAAGAATTCAGAGACTTCGCGTGGTCCACAAGGCTCAAACACCGAAGAAGATAAAGCGTCTTCACCCGGAAAGCAGACAGCACCAAGCTCTGATCTATCGACACAATCACCAACCCCTCGGAAGCGTAAAGAGATCTCGCCAATAAAGAACGAGGACAACTCATTGAAAACGCCTAAGTTGTTAAAAGGCAAAGAGTCACCAACACCAAGTGACAGAGACAATACACCAAAGCCACAGAAGAAGCAGAAGCGGAAAGAGTCCTCCCCCTCAGACGTGTACAGCCATGGCCCAAATGGATCGCAACCAAAAGAGGATGAGATGGGCACGCGTGGCTCGACGCTCGCGCCCACCGACAAAATTATTGAATCAGTCGAAACAAGCGAGGAGAAGACCAGCATGGACACATTGGGGGCACCTGACGGGTCTGAAATGGACACGCATGGCATGACGTCGAGGCCCGAAGAGGATGATGGCGAAACAAGCGAGAAGAGCGACAGCGAGGAAGATCCTAAGGAGGATAGTAGCGAGACCGACGGAGATCCAGATAATCAGCACGCTCTACCAAATCAAGACATCACGGGACGCAGACTCAGGCCAAATGCGAGGACAAAAAAGGATGAACTTAATGAGACTCGAATAGCAAAACATGGCATGAGGACTAGATCTTGATAGCGTTTAGCTTTCGAACACCACGATTGTGACCCAATTGCTAGGTACAGTATAGGCTTTAGAGGAGTTTTAAAGGGGTGCCTGTAGACGGAGTTTTTCTGCATCTTTCTAGATACTACTGTCATAGGGATGGGACGCTGCATCAGCATTAGCAAGCAAATTTTCTTACATTGAAACGCAATTAACACCCCCATCATCTCCACCAGTTCACACACCCTTCCCTCCGCTCCCACCTTTTTAACACCCTCACAATCTATTACCCTCCCCTTCCCTCTTCTCCACCATCAACCCCCAATCAAACCCTCAACTCCCACCGAACCCTAACAATGAACCACCAACACCTACAATTACCGCCCCTCGAGCACCGGCCCCTTGTAAAACTCATATTCTTCATCATTATCGTCCCATTCATCCTGACCCTCCCTTTCTCAGCACGCGTCCAAAATCTTTTCCGAAAACGGTACTTCCGATTTCTGCCACCAAAGGGCGCAGGACTCCACCCTCAAAAAACCGACAGTGGAGGATCTGTGGAAGGTGAGTCTTCCCCACTATTCCCTCCCCCTGCCTCGCTGGAGGAACCCAAACAAAGAGCCACTATCTGCAGCGGCATCGCTAACTCGATCCCCTTCACCAGGACCTATCCCATAAAGCGCTGGATGCAACATGGAGCAAACTCCTCTATGTCTTTAAGGAGAAGGCTGGCTTTGTGCCGGCAAAGACCCACGCCCTATGGTCGGCCGCACAAAATGCTAGCGTGCCCGTCGTGGTCTCCTCCCCCCTGCCGTCGCTTGAAGGCTGCAAGACGCGCGCTGCTACGTACGTGGGTGATATGTACAACGCCTAGGCGAGGGGTGCGAGAGTCGCCAGAGAGGTAGGGGCGTTCGGCCTGGGAAAGTTTCTGGATGTGATTCAAGCCGTTGAAGAGCGTGCGAAACAGGTCATGTCGGAAGACTAGGCGATGCTCGTTGTCGCTGCTGTGGCGCTTTTGATGGCGTACTGTGTCTCCCGTATGGTCTTGTACTTTTTGGGGGTTGTGTTCAAGATTTGCAAGAAAGTGTTTTGGGGGGCTAGGTACTGCTTGCTAGCCGGCCTATCGGCTCTTTAGGCAATGGATTTTCGAGCCGCTGTGGTGTTGGAAATGGTGGTTGGTATGCATTGGACTTCCACTGCTGATTTGGACGTTCTGGCCTGAAGGAGGTCCCATACATCGACTCGAGGAACTGTTGCCGGAGAACAAAGACAACACAACGAGCCAATTTCCTACTGAATGAGTTCGGAGAAGAGGTTGTTCACGGTGCAGGAACAGACGTAGGGAGAAGATTAGGTATGATGCTGAAAATTGCAAACTGGGACGCTTAGAAGCAGACTTGGAGAGTGACTCAACGGAGTACAACAACGCAACAATAAGACGTATCTACAAAACAGGAGTATATTTAAACAGAGTGGCATAGAATCGGCAATCAAAGGATTGTCGAAACGATGTTGTACACGATTCAAAGCTGACCCTATCGTTGAAATATTTTTTTCGATGGGAAAACCAGATGCAGTATAGCCAAAAGAAACAAATACCTTCAAAACATTTTGTTATAAGGCATTAGATGTCAGTGCTATGATTCAATGGCACAACAGAAGTCAGTATATTCTCAACGTACTTTGGCTGTCGAGTCCGATACCGACATCTGCCCTGACGAAGAGATATGCACAATTTGGGGACATATATGTTCGGCAAACGACTGATACCGAACCCTAATCCATAAATCAAACAGCTGCCTCGACGGAGTGGTCAAATAAGGCATTGAGGTCTCCGCTTTCCTTTTAACAAGAGTCCTCGCCAGAGGCGTTCATCTTGCGCTCATTAACAGTCTCCACGCTTGTAGCGGCGTCGTTATAGCAGTCATTGACAGGGTGTGGGTCATCTCGAAAATCTAGTTTCTTTGGATTATGATCCTTAAGCTCAATGGAGTAGCAACAACGTTTCAATTTAGCTTAGTATTATTTTCCGCTGACGTCGTAATATCTGATAGAGGAGACTCAGCGGATTAGGGTCCAGCAGAAGCGTCCATGTTTAAAGCGTTGGGACTATCGCGAATAGCGAATAAAAGCCAAAGATCGTTGTTGGTGGCTTTAGTATCTGGGATGCCACTGAAGCCTGTGAGAATACGCTAAGTGTCATGGAAGATCTTTGGAGTCTAACTGCCATGGTTTCTTTTAAAGTCCAGCGATTTCAAAGTCGTGCTTGGACAATCCTCGTCATCGTCTGCTCTTGATATCATGCTCAGAAGGTCATTTTATGCACCGACTAAGCCAAGAAGCCGGGGTTTTTTGCGTGCCCACGCAACAGCGGCATACTTCTTTGTAGTTCGTCCATTCCAATTCCCAAGCTCATGGCTAGAGTCCTAACCTGATCGGCGGCGCACGCCATTCCCAGTACTGACGCTCTCCATCCTTCTGTTTTCAAGCCTTCCGTGTACGTCTGTCCGTCGTAAATGACTTGCTCGAGGGGCTCTTGTGCAGCATATTACCGCCAGATAATGGACCTCATGATGCTGAAGAAGAGGCTCGCGGAGAATGTGGTGAGGGCCGGATGTTGAGAAGATAGGAAGGGCATGTCTTCGAAAGCAGTCAGCAGGCTGAGCAATATACTCGCCATCCCTTTCGGGGTGGCCTACATCTTGACCTGTTCCAATAGTCATACAAGGCAGCTATCTTTGAATGTGATCATTATCCATATCGCGCTCGCCACCACCAGGATTTGGAGAGGCTGCGAGATCCAAGTCCGGTGAAGGAGGTGCCTGGATGCCTAATAGAGACTGCACACGCTCCTGGAAGTGCTTGAGAGGTAGAGATATGAAGGCAAAGAGGCCACGGCCGCGCATCCCAGCATTATTGGTAGTGGAAGGGTTGGGGCGCGTTGGTAAATGCTCTTGTCACTGAGACGAGGGTGAAAGTCATCGCTGCCAAGTATTGCTTACTAAGCCACATTCCCACGTCTAGCGCGAACATCTTCAACCGAAGACGAAGACAGTTGGCGAGTCGTACCAAGGAGCTTGAATGAGAACGCCGTCACCTTTCTCCTAGCACAGAGGAGTCGGTGGAGCCGATGGCGAGATCTTCAACGCCATAATTCGGTACATGCTGCTGCAAACACGAGGACAGACAGGTCTGCGGCGAGAGCTCCCACATCTCGAAAATGTGGGCTTATAACAGCTGCTAGAGGGTCATGGTGCATTGTCTTCATGGGAGGTCAGGGCTTCTACTGATTTCTGCTCCTCAGAGCCCCTCCGATGGATTCATGTCATCTACAACATTCTCTTCACACCCTGCCAATGTCATTTCACATAGTCTACACTTCCAAGCCTCAAAGACTCTGAAGATCATGTTGGGCGTCCACCTGGAACATTTGAACTAGACCCAAGTTTCTGGTCAGAGTCCAGGGAACCAGCGTCGCTCCTCAACTCCCTAAATGAAGTGAAGCGCCTTGGGGCAGAAGGGAACAGATGCATATTCCTGCCGAGATGGCAAATATGAAGATATTCCAGTTCTGCACAACAGACAACCATGAGTTGAAGGTTGGTTCTTTGGCTTGGCTCGTCTCTGCTCAGCAGAGCGCTGACGGACATCAGATAAACGCAAAAATCAATTGATATGATCCAAGCTTCAATCCTCGACCTGAAGCTGTGAGGGCGCGCAAGGATGCCACTCCAAGAAGATGAGGAGGGGTCGTCTTGCGAGGATGAGGAGGGGAAAACACCCTTCCAAATAAAAACCGCGAGGGACCAGGATTGTCCTTCTTCCCCTTCGAAGATGGCCTTCATCTTCGCGAGAGAACGTAAAGCTCGCACTGATGGATCTCATAGACCGCGAAAGCCATTGCACTGAAGATGTAGCCATTGACACGATGGTCTGTCCTGTGCTCTTCACACCCCCGTCAACAATAGCTGACGCGGAGCTACTGTTCATAGACTCTGTCGAGAGGGAGTTCTGGATGGAGGTTATTGATAAGCCAACGGTCCGCACGCGACCAAAGCGCCCTGAATGTCGGTTTGGGATCATGGCAAAAAGCGTGGAAGGGCTGGAGATTGGCGCGCGCATGGACGGGGAAGGCTTGGATGAACTCTGTGAAAGTGTTGAGGCGGTGGGTATTGTCTGTGACGGGACGACGAAGGGCAGCTGAGCGGCGCGCGGGAAATCGTTGGGGAACTGGAAGAGTAGGGTTGATGGTGTAGACTAAGGCCCTGCAGTTTTCAGCCGAGATCTCGGATCGCGAGGTGTCTTCCTTGTTTGCTGCGGGGATAGTTGGAGAGCCTGTTGGGGATGATGGCAAGGGTTTATGAAGTGATGCTGCACTTTCTACGTATGGATTTTTCGACGCGGAGAGTGGAATATCTTTTGGAAGGTCTTCCTTCTGCGAGGAGAGGAGGCGGGATGAGGGCGTAATGGTGGGATTGGATGTCTGCTCGAAGGCAGAGCCGGTAGCTGCGGGGAGTGGAATTGTAAATGCGTGTCCTGATAATGTACTACCATCTCTTGCAATGCCTAATGAAGGTGTAGCTGGAGCTGGAGCTGTAGCCAGTATTAGAAACTGCTCTGACGGCGGGTTGGATCTGACTTACGCTCAAGGGTGCCAATGGCCATGCTGGACAGCATCAGAAGCCTGGCTGCTACCGAGAACCAATACATTGTATTGCTGAATCTCCTGATCTTGGACAGCGAAAGGTCAAATTGAGTATGTAGAATATCTTGGTGGGGTATCCGGCCCCATCGCGCCTTTTTTCGGGGATCGGAGGTCCGCCTCCGCTCGTCACCAGGTCTTCTCCTCCGTCCTATCTTCTTTCTGCTGCCCATCCCAGTCTCATTGACGATGGAGGAACCAAAGTCCCTTCGCGCTTTTGTTGCAAGGAATCGGCATCGTCTTGAATCGTCGCGACGAAGCAACGGCGTTGATAGGCATGGAGATTTCGAGGGCGAGGAGAGGGCGTCCACAATCCATTCTCCTGCTGCCAAAGGGCCAAAGGTGAATGAGTTAGGCGTGACGCATACAAGGGAGACGGAGACTGCGCCCAATGCGCCCGTGGTGCCGGTTGACGTAAGGGGCGACGTACAGGGAGACGCAGGGTTCGCTAGGCCTGGTGCTTTCATCCAGGGACCAAATCCACCAGTATCGATGCAGCGCAAGCTCACTTGTGGACTCATGTGTAGCTGCCTGATATCTTTGGTATTCTTCTCTGTCTTTTGTCTGGCCTTGTTCGTTCTTCTCTGTGACCCACCGCCGCCGCTCTCCCAGGTCGTTGGAACGGTTGACGCGCCTCCGGTGTTTGGACCCACCAACAACCTCTTCAAGCAAGCAATGATTCGATGGCCAAAGCTGGCAAGCTTTTAGAAGACTGTCACCAGACAGCGAATATCCGTCGCGCGAGACACAACATCTAAGTCTTCCACACCGAGTTGCACACAGTGAAATTTGCTGCGGGCAGGACTCAGAAAATCCTCACGACCAAGTTCGATGTTGCTATGTCTGTCGCCAACTCGACGTCGAAGAACGCAGACGTTATCGCATTGAGATTCTTGATTCGAGACGCCCCTGTTCAATCAAGGCGCGTTTTGGCTGACCATGTCCGGGCAATGAACAACATCAACCAAGCTCGCAAAGGTGTTCAGGTCGAACATGACCTGATCCTGGAATATAGGCGCCTTTACAAAGACAAGCTCAACCAGCCCGGCGCACGTGTCTCCAGCTTGCTTTCAATCTTTTCTGGGCCATCCGACTCCACCCAATACCAGCATTGGGAAGACCAAAGGAAGGCAAATAGTGGGATCCAATCCACAATCGAGGATGCTTCGAAGTCGTTCTCGAAGAGTATAGAATATTGGAAGGCGGTGGACCAGGGGGTCCAGAAGGTTGAGGCGGAGCTTGAGGCCTTGAAGGCAATCGAGGAGGGACGCCTTTCAGCGGAGGAGATCATGGCGGTTCTGGGACGGATTCAGAGCAGAATGGGCAGAGCAGCCAGAGGGAAGTGAGACTAAGTAGGGTTTGCTGGATGTGGCTTCGATGCGCATGATCAAGGAGAGATGAAGCATGGGCAAAGAAATACGGATGTTGTTGATGGTCGGGAAAGAAAGTGATGTCAAAGATACGAGTATTCTAAATTACAATACACTCGATGTTTTCGCATTCCTTCGGGGGCTGTCCAGGGGGAGCGCCCCTAGAAGCCCCCTGTAAGAATTCGGCGTCCTATACGTAGTGACTCTGGTCCTACACAACTCAATAGTTGGCTTGTGACAACTTGGGATCGAAACTTGAAGCTGTCCCATCGGCACGAGCTGGTTCGTGATGTGCTGAATTGCCGAGTTGATCTGGAATATTGCAATGAAGCTGAAGGATAGCCCTTCTCCCCACTATGCTTCTTGCCGCAGGCTCTCGTGGAGGCTCGGAATCAGCGACACCGCTCTGGCGAAATGACTCCCTTGCTTGGAGGTATGTCTCGGACCTCCGCCCGCAGAGAAGGGGCTGCAGACCCGTGATGGCTTTCATATTTCAACTCAGACCCTCAGCCCCTTTTCTCTTTACCCAGCTCCTCATTCTCAGAGCCGCGATCGCCCCAAAGTTGGTCCTTAGCTACATTTTAACCCAAAGGCCACCATGGCGAGTATAGATGATGAGAAGGAGGGATGGCTAGACGCCCTGGGCGCTCTTTTAACCTCTGGAGTAGGTCTTCACGTGCGATGGCTGTTCAACAGCTAATTTGCTATAGGTGCTTTCTACGCTTCAAACCCTGCCTTCAAATGCATTGGGGCCCGAAGAACGGGCCAATCTGCGCCAGCTGAGCAATTTCTTCCCACCGCCTTCAAATAAGACCCATGACCAGAAGCACCTCCCCAAAGCTGTAGATGACGTCTCCGAGCGCCTCCAGGGTGCAGGTCTCAGCAAGCGAAAGAGGCATGAGACCTCTGACGAGGGAGAAGAAGACGAGGAAGGAGAGGAAGAAGAGGATGAAGAGAATGAAGAGGAAGAAGACGACCATGCATATACCGGAGGCCCTAGAAGACCTCGACACAAAACCCTCAAGCACACGCCCATGGAAACCCCATCAACCCCAAGTTGCCAAAGTGGTGGCAAGAGAGGCAGACCCACCGGCCGCAAAACCCCAAGCCCACGCCCAAGCAATTCAATTGAACACCAAATCGCCACAATGGTGGCGGCCTCAAAAGCCCAAACGCAGACCCCTTGGATCAAACCATCCCAAAAACGAACAAAACCTGGGGTTCAATCCGCAATCTGACCTCCCTCTCCCTCTCCCCCAGTCTATCGCAGCACCTGGCCAGCAACCCCCAAAGAGACCCCTCTCTCTTTCTCGACGACACCACAACCCCCTTACACCTGAACCCTAAACAAAGCGAATACCGCAGCTTAGGGGACGGCCTGGTCGCCTGCTTCTTCTACAGCAAAATCATCCACAGCCGCAAAGAGGATACGAAGAAAAGACAAGCAGCTCCAGTGTTGCAAAATGTAATAGAATGACAAGCCTCACAGCGTCTCTCTATCCATGTTCATCGTAATCGTATTTTGATCTTTCCTATACGTATATCATCTAGTTATTGAAGAGTGGCAAACCTACTGCCACCTCGAAAAAGAAATCGATCCTCCCTATTACCAAATGCAACCCCCCACACCCCCCTCCCGGTATTTCTCGCCCACGTTCACAACAACCCAACCATCCCCTCTAAACTCCTATTGCTGTTATCAGCCGGTCTCGAGTACTGTCCCGTCTTGCTTGAAGCATTTTTGGATTACCTTTACTTCCCACTCTCCTTGGAAAATTTGCAATGTCTCTCCATCCTGCCCGTCGTTGTCATTATCGAAACTGTTCGCACCAATTTAGTAATTCTGCTTAGTAAGGTTCTCGCGCCGGGTCCGTGGCCTTCCGTCCTACGATGGGAGAATGGGAGAGGGTGGAGTATGTTGGTGTCGAGATATAGATGTTTTGTAGGAGTTTGGCGGGCTGGAGGCTGGGGGGCTGGGTGGTTGCAAATACGATGTATGCAGTTGACTGGCTGGGGCTCTTGGGGGGTAAGAAGACTGTGAGGCTGGGGTTGAGGTGCTGATGCTGATGCTGACGCTGATATTGGCGTCTGTTGGGGAGGGAGTTGGTCTCCGATGAAGCATCAATAGAAGGTAGCATAGGTAAGGAAAGGTAAACGTAAGGTGATGCGTATTGGATAAGGAGTGACTATGTGCGTGACAAACATAGACAATGCCAGATAGAATTTGCTTAAGAAAACAACATTAGAGTCTGAATCGTTGAACTCATTCGTGGCTGTCCTTCTCCTAGCTCGCCACATTCCCTCCCTTCTCTCTCCAAGTTCATTTGCAAGCATGTCTCTTGATACCCTCTGCCCCCTTCAATTATTATTGCCTCCCGCCCCGGCGGAATTCAATGGAACAGAATCCAAAAAGCCTTAATTTGACAGCATCCGCAACCTTTTCGCCTTCGCCACCGAAGTGCACCCTTTTCCATTCTCTCTTCTCTGCCTTCGCGTGCATTTTCCGCTGAGCAATTGAATAATGGTCCTGCAGCCCCTTAGTCCCAGTCTTAACACCTCATTTGTCAGGGCACTTGGATCTTGATGCATCCACGCTCTTGGATTAGCTAAATCCTCTAAATCTCCCCCTGATCCTAACGTATTTGCCCTACTATGCTTGTCGGTCACTACTCGATATTGCGTGCGATTATAAGATTCTATACTGTATGATAGATACTCTGTTTATTAGTGAGAACCCCTCTACCCCTAATGTAAGCACCTCCGAAAACTCCGACGGCCGAGAGGGGTGGCAACTCACATCAACATCCACGATTCCCCCTCAGCATGAGTCAATTTCATCGCTGCCGTTAACGGCTCAATCGCTAAGATGTTAATATCGCTCAGCTTCCTCAACGAGCGAGGGAGATACTTAAGGTTCTCCCCTCCTTTCTGGCTCGAAGCTGGATACGGTAGCAGAAACGTGGTAGCTGACACGAGTGAGATTGGCAAGAACGGATGTGCTTTCAAGAACCAAGAAGAGGGTACTATTTAACAAGTTGTACTATCTCAGAGACGGCCCGTTGCTCTGTAGCATGAAGCATTGCCTGATACTCGAACATGCTCTAAAAGACAGCTTTGGACAGCTGAGATTGATAATGAAACTATGCGCTAGGAAGTAAGTAAAGAAGAGCATAGAGTCTCGCTCCGGTGCTGACTGTATTCAGGGTTGTTTAAATTGTATTACAAGCCTCTCCACCAAGGAGTTTAATGACTTCTGACAGGTCCCAGAAAGCGCGTGGGTCTTTGCTTGACTCTTTCAATGCTGAGGGGCACTTCGACAAACAACGGCCGTGGAGTCCTGTCATGACTACGCATTTGGCCAAGGTGGCTATCGCAAGAGACGCGTTCTCCGCCATGACGTAGTCTAAAAAGGGGTTTGGTGGCCGTTGACACAGGCAATCGAGTGTAGAGCTGTTACCTACCTTAGCAGTAGCTATTGATGCCTTTGGGCTAGAATTTTTGTATTTCCCTATGAGAGATTTGGGTACTGGGCACTTAGTACTTGCCACTTCTTCTTGGTCAAGGACCATTCATTACGTGAGCAGAAAAGGCGGGTCTATTGTAAATGCCACCGAAGACGTCCATCGCCCTTAGGGTTAAGTCTTGGAGGAAATCTTGTCTGACTCCAAGTCACCAACGGGTGACAGAGCCTCATCAATAGCGTCTATGTCTTAGAGGCGTACAATCTATATCAAGCGGAATGTCCGACAGACTATGTGTATAGCCTTCTGCTGATGCATTCGCAAAGTCTTGTAACGGGCTAGTGACAGCCCTGCCTGAATTTGTTCGAGCGAGACATTGTCATTTGACATGGGCCAGTTGATGTTGGACGTTCGTAGACTTGACCGCCCGTAAACGGCAGGTCGTGTCTACAAACGTCCAACATCAAGACTTTTGATCTTCCGACTTTGGGTTTTTGGTTTTTAGGATTTTTATTTTGTTCAAAAACATAGTGAAATAGTTAATTGAAACAGTATGTATACTCTTTGTAGTACTATGTAGCTGTATAGCTTTTTCTCTTCTGTTTTTCCTTTATATTTGCTCACTTTTGGGCTGAGAAACAGAATTGTAAGCGTAATCTGTAGCAGCGCGTTTGCGCAATGTCTTCTCAACTGTTTTCAGGCCTGATTTGGGCTGAGAGGAAGCTTCGCAAAGAGCTTGCAAACAGCTTGTTAAACAGCTTGCAGTACTGCATAGCTGCATGCTCCTTCTCTCTGCTCTTTTTGAGCTGTTTTAAGCCTGATCTGGCCTGGGAAACGGTTTTACAAACGGGTTGCACTGCGGCGTGCTTGCACAGCTCCCTCCCCACTGTTTTTAAGCCTGATTAAAGCCTGATTTGGCCGGAGAAACCGCATTGTAAAGAGCTTAGAAAAGGCGCCGGGTCTAAGCGTACACCTGAGCTACGATACTGGGCTGACATGACCGCCGCGATCGTCCATATGGCTGCTCGAAGACAAGCTCGAGCTGGCGTCACGGTTGCCAGGCTTGAACGAGACACGCATCACCAGTGATAGATCATTGGACAAACAGGGTGGACATAGTCGAAATACAATTGATCTCTGTTTATTCAAGGTATCGGCTGGGCCGATCGTCTCTATTTTTGCGTGAGGACGAAGTTCCTCAGCCCTCAGCTTTAACTTACAGGTCTGCGCATACTAGATCCGATAACTTCACGTTTTCTAGCATTGGTAGCCTTGCTTGTGTATCTGCCAAAGCCGAGAGACTAGCATCCGAGCTTACTGTCGGTGTCGATACGCTTGATGGGTCCGACTTTCCGGGCATCTGAGCAACATCGTTATGGAGAATTCATCGAAGCTAGGTTGGTTGGTGTCGTCAAGATCGGTCACCAGTGCGCCGGACATGGTCGATTCTTGCATTGTGGTGTCGCCATTTGTGGATAGGATGTTTGAATGCTCGCTTGTAGGTTGAACGGCCATGTCCACTTCGTGCATCGCTACTCGTCAGTCGATAAGGTCGATGGAGAGTCTAGGTAATCGTAGAGCAGCCTACGAACAGAACTGGCCGCAAGCAATCACACTCATCCGGTCGGGACTGCTTCGTGTCCAGAGAGCCCCTTGCTAAGCCTTTCTGTGATTTCTTCCCGGTCCTGATACAAGGGGTGCCTGCCTCAGCACAAAAACCACATTGAGATTGCTCACAGTCGCATTGTGCTTTACGCATTCGACACTCGTCGCAATCGTTTCCAGGCTGCTGTCAAGATCCTGCAGCCTTCATGGTCCAGCAGATGAAAGTGCCAGATGGCTGTGATACAGTGTAAAGGCGCAGACCAAAAGTCTTGACAGCAGTCCATCACGTGTTCAAAACGTACCTACGAATATTTGCTCGCGTGCCGTACATCCTACCCAGCCTGAATGTCGTGAAGCATGGTCGTCAAAACTAATCTACGTACGGCATAGCGAAAAAGCTTGATTCGTGAGTCTCGATCTGAGCTCTCTGAAAGGGACTCCCAGCCCACTATCTGTTCAGATCCTCCATCCGCTCATAGGAATCCTAAGCGAGGGGCTAGCGCTTTCTGACTCGCTAGGTACTCCAACGTTGCATCCAGACAGCTCAGTAAGCAGAAAGCTATCGAGATTGGTATGATCACGAAATCGTAGCTCAAGTCGTGCCATTCCAATCATGTGCTGCTAAAGCCAAGCCGTTGCGCGTCCCGTAGAAAACAGGAGCCCTGAATCTTACAGTAGGCCTCAATTCTGCATTGCAGAGCATCATCGAGTATGCTTGCTATATTGTAGAACCCTCGGTCTTTTGAGATACAAATCTTGAGTGGCACTTTCGGGCTGGAGTCACTTCGGCAGGCTGATGGCACAAGACGCTTAGGGGTATTGACGGCTTGATTTTCGTGGACTTTTTGTGCCGGTGACTGAAGAGATGGCGATCGTGAGATCTAGGCTGGTAATACGGAATTCAAGCGTGATTGTCGATCGTCGCTGACAAGTCTTGAACCGCAGCGCAATGCGATGCTATTCGCCGGGCGATAAGAGGAGTCGTCCGAGAGTCAGATAGCCAGTAAAGAGGTTGGGTAATGTTAGGTAGTATAAAGTTTGTACATGACAGATAACGATCGGGACCGCACGTACCAGCGGTGTGTAGCGAAGGATGCCGTTGCCATCTTGTACACATTAGGTCATCGGCGGGATGAGAAGTGAAAGATTCGATGTCAGGAGGAGATTTTGCAGTCTTTAAGCATACGAATTCTGATGTCGAATTAGCACCATTGGATGAAGACTATCTGTCCGCGACCTTCCTTACAAGATCATCCAGATTAAGGGCATCCCGAACCTTAGTCGAACCCAACGCCTAATTTAACAGCATAGACCGTCGGAAAACGACTTTACCAACAGTTCATACTTTGCTCTCTTCTGATTAGCCACATCCAATCTCACCTAAAGCCATGTCTGATGATGAGAAGGGCTTCGCCGCCGACGGCCGGAGTCTCAGCGCCTATCCCGATTCACGAAGAGCTGAAGTCTTTATTGTCGCAGACGTTGATATAGTCCTAGCGAAGACGATCGCAGCCGTGGACAATGCCATCGATCAAATTGGGTTAACGAGCTTTCACTGGAAGCTCTTCTATTTGAACGGCTTTGGGTATACTATTGATTCTGTGAGTACACCTGTGGAAGAATTCTTCGTATTCTCGAGCGGGTGGTCATGGTCCGAGACGAGTGAATAATAATGTCGATAGATTTGGGACCTGTGGCAGATGTTGGCCGTACTTGTCGGTATCACTCAGCCATTGGTGGAGTCGGAATACCAAAATCCCAATCCGGTCTTTATGGAAATCAGTCTGGCATCAACCATCGGGCTCCTTGTTAGGGCTTCTTTCTGGGGATTCTCCGCGGAGGTCATTGGAAAGTTCTGTGGCCTTCCGTTTTCATTGAGTTCCATGTATCACTTGCAGCTGAACGTCTCTTTACATGGCTTTATGGCTGCTGATACGTCATAGGAGCCATAGGTCGAAGGCTTGCTTTTAGCCTGACCCTGTTCTTTTGGGCCATCTCCATCATTCTGGCAGGAGCGATGCCGAATTCTCCTTTCGCGCGTGGTACCTCATCTGAACTCAATTTCCCCAATTGAGATGATTCTCATCTTCTGACCCTCAACTGTAGCACTTCGATCGCAGGTTTCAGCGATATTCCCCTCGAGTTTTGTCGTTCTGAAGGAGCATGCCTCGTTACTATGCTGGCAACATGGTGGGCGAATGGCTACATGCTCTCCAGACTTCCTGCATGGGCCTTTTCGAGCGTTTATAATTGCCATCCGGGAATTTCCAAGCAGAGACCATCGCGATGTTTCCGCGACCACAATATGGCGTTACGCTATCTCCATTGGATTTTAGGCGCCACTGTTTTTGTCCTTAGCATCTTATGTGTGCCTGCCTTAAGGCTCAAGCATTCTGCTAGATGGTTGATTGCCCAAGGGAGGGATGCCGAGGTTGTTGAGACTCTTCAAAAGATTGCTATGATACCCAATCGTCCCCTCCGTTTGACTGCAGAGCAGCTGCTTTCGTACAGCGAGGTGGAAGACGTCGAGAAACTTAGACTCATTGGCCCTCCGCTTGTCGCATATGCTGTTGAGAACAGAATCCTCGGCAGAAGGAGTATCACTCTCACAGCTGTCTTATCTCTTTCAATCTGGGTATACTCAAGTGAAGAAGCCTGACCAGGACCTAGGCTTGGTGTCTGCAAATTCCTTATTCTCGGAAGTGTTCCATCGCAAGATGGGTTTAGAACCTTGAAGCTGACAAGAAAAAGCATTAGCTTCTACGCAACCCTTTAAGCCTACACACCGTATGGTCTGCATTCGATTGGAGGACTGCTCTGAAGGACGTGTACTAACATTATCGTAGGGACATCTTGCCCTCTGCTCACAGAGCCACAGGTCAGGGTCTTGCGGTCGGAATCAACCACTTGATGGGAGTGCTGGCCATCATCATAGCTAGTCACTCCAACGAGGAATCAACTGAAATGATTGGGAGACAGTGGCTATACCCGGAGGGGTCCGCCAAGCATAATCCAGATTGAGCTTAGCGCATGCTTATATAATTCTGAGATATGCGGAAGCAGTTCCGGGATGATGACGTAGAGCCCGGAGTTAGAGAGCTCTCCGCTCGGATTTAGCAACACCTACTTGTCCATTGATTTCTCTCAATTCTTCTTCTTCTATAGCGCAGAATAGCAACCTCAGTCTCTGGCAGTAAGTCTACGCTGCGAGTCACAGTTCTATATGTTCAAGTCTCTATAACTACGACACCTTGCTACCTCTGCCTCTGGCTAGGCGGAGTCTTGGCAAAAGATGAGTCATAGCTAATTCCACATAAGTTGTAGGTATAGTCTTCATCTTGCACTCTACTCAGTCTGAATATTCAATTGTGTACCAAGCGATCAGTTGACAGCACCTCTATTCTTTGATCCAAAGACATGTTCTCACGTTTGCGCCTGCATGATCTTCCGCCGGAGGTGCGCGAAATGATCTACGACGTCGTGATCCACGATCATATAGAGCCGTTAATGGTGAGTGTAGGAATTTAGCATTCGATCCATTCCAGCCTGCTCTCTTCAAAGACGCTAATACTGGCGAGCAGCAGCAGGCAAATTATGATGATCTGGAACCCATCGAGGATCCCTTTTTCACCTGGGATCGATCGCTCATCTATCCCCCTTTCTTCCTGGTCAGCAACTTGATCAACAAAGAAGCAGTCCCTTACATGCACAAGAACCTTTTCCAGTTCTTTGAAAGCAGGGACGCTGTGCGACAGATACCCCCTCCGATAGATGCGACATCAAACGTGCAGCTGTCAAGATCGTCATCGTTCCTCCACGTTATCCAGAAGACGTCTCGTGTGAACCCTCAGAGGATGTCGCCGATTTCTCTTCACTCCCTCGCCATGTCATGGAAATCTCAAATCTGCTCCCAGCTGTGACCGAGCTAAGGCTCTACCTGGAGTTTCGTCGCTACCGCGATTTGGACTGGTTCCGCTCTGACTACCTTCAGTATTGCGCCAAGCCACTTGCACTTAGAAGAGTCAACTTCACTATTAGGACCAGGCACTGGAGCCACGAAATGGCCTCTACATCGCCCGATTCATGGAGTGACCAGGCAAGATTGTGCCCTGGGCCTGTTCACTGGTGCCAGCTCAACAAGATCTGGTGTAAAAGGCTGGGAGCGCATCCAGGTTTCGGGATTCCTGGCTATGATGATACTTCGAACAATTGCGCTTGACAATAGACAGCAAGACAACACTGGTTGTGACTATCATCATCTTTCTCACTAGTCGCAAAATTGATCGCTGTCAGCATGATTGCAGATGAGAATACATGCAGCGATCTGCCAACACTGAGAGGCTCTTACGTTGAAGAGCGCCGTCATTTCGCGAAACAATCCCGCATTAAGGCGGCAGGCTTCGACATTCTCTCACGCAGGCTTTCTACTCTGGCTTTCAATCTCTTGCTTGGAAATCATAGGGTTCACTAATCCTGAGGTGCTCTGAGAGAAAGAAGCCTTGATAGTAAAGCCAATCAATCAGTTGTGCAGTCTAAGAGATCATCAACAAAGGAACTATGATTGACTGCACGTGTTGCGAATTTCGAATCAGTCAAAGAAGTAGATGCAGATCAAAGCCTAAATATCTCCACTTATCCTGCGCTGATAGGACAATGCCTTAGGACTTCCCCGTACAGCAGGCGTGAGACTTCAAGGCAGAAAAAGTTGTAAAGACGGATTGTCTTTCTTACTGCCAAAGCAGGCTAAGAAGTCTAAACGTGTTTCCTGTTGCTCAAAGAATCGTCCAACGCGCCCCTGGCTATTATTAGCTATATGTGGATTTAGCTTTCAGCGAAGAACAGCAGGCGGGCCAAATCAATGCGCCCCGCACACTCTTCGCCTCGAACTTTTCAAGAGCCTGCCACACCAACGTCCCACCAGCGATCACAACTAGAAAAGCTGGGTCAAACTGTCCGGTATAAGCTCTATCAGATTGTCACAAGTCAGAAGTCAAGATCTAAAGCGTCATCAACGCTGGTCAAGATAGATACAAGGCCGCGAAGCTCTCCAATGGTACCGAATTCCGCCCACTATGGGTGTCCCAGCCCCGAGACGTATAAAAACGGTGATGATTGTGCTGCAAGCCTGCCTATAGGAGGTCATATGTCCTGGTGGTACGGAGAGAACTTGGCGGAGTACGCATAGCATGAAATTGCTCTTGCAAATTACTTCATGGACGAGGTACCAGGGCGCAATTCAATCCCAGCAATTACGCGGATGTTGGTGGAAATTGACATTATCATAAGCCTAATCAAGAAAGTCAAAGATCAGCCTCCATAAATGGAACGGGGCAGACGCTCCGTCCCACCCTCTCCCAATGTTTCGCTGCATTCGGGTTATAGCGAATCCTACGCACATTTCAAATGCATTCCTGCGGTGGATGGTCAAGACATGGGTCTTCAATGACTTGGACCTGGGTACGAGTACATGCACATGAATACTACCCTATCCTAGCATCGTTCAGTGGTTCACCGATCAAGATGCTGGGATATCCATTCTTATTAGCTCACTGTCTTTGTCGGAAGCATTGGAGCCCATGTATTGTCACGGTGATCAGCACGAATGTCGAAAATCTTCTGCCGAAACCTGACTTCGTTGATCGGGTGTCCAACAACGCTGCGGCCTCATAGCCCATGAAGTGCCATCATCTAAAGTTTTTTGTGCTCAACAAACCACTTAACTTTCCTAGTCAAAATGGACGCCTCAAACCTCATAGCTACGCTCCTCCCCCTTTGCGGGTTATCTAGCGCGTTCACTCCCTGAATCCGCACAATGCGGTACCCAGGGCGCTGTACATCAAGACCCAGTACTCTAGGCGAAGCCAAAATCCAAAACTTCCCGGCAAGAGCATAACAAACCCTTCAACCACGTTTCTGAACCCTGGTAACGGCGCTGACAGTACAACATCATTGTCTCCAGGCGGCGGTACCGGCACCGCTGGTTCAGACAACGCAGGGTCAGACACCACTGACTCCGACACCGCTACGTCAGGTAGCAACAGAACAATATACAATCCACTCTCCCGCCTCAATGATTCATCACACCCTCCCCTCCCCACCTCTTCCACAACTCTACATCCCACTACCATCCTCCCCTGCACAGACGACCGAATGCGCTCCTCAAACTACGCTGCCAGCAAGAAACGCCTGCGGTCTTGCAGCCGGTGCAGCAAGCTACAAGAACCTTATTCGATAATTCGTAACCTAGAGAGGGAAGGGGAATGTCATTCATGCGAAGCAGACGACTTCAGCCAGTGCGCGAATGCTGTATTCCTGGGACTTTGGTCAAGAAGGGGGGGGAAGATCGGTGACAATGTGCACTCTGTGATCGTCGGTCATGCGAAATCCGACTTGTGTGGCTGATAGTAAGAAGAGTGCGGATGCTGTGCTGGGCGATAGGATGGGGCATGAGGATTAGGGTAAGCGGTGAAGATGGAGAGTTGCACGGGGGGTGGTTCGTTGCTGGCAGACCTTGGAATGCTGAAGTGGGATGTGCGTTACGTTTAGTTGTAGGTGCTTTCTTAGGGGTATTGTTTGAAGGTTCCAGCACATGGTTGTTCATAACAAAAATTGTTCCTCGCTTCGCGCTTCCTCGATTGGTCATCCGCCCACAAGAATGCATTAACATTGGCACTCGACCTCGAGCCATAAGAACATCTATCAACTGTCAGCGGCCGCAAAAGATTTTGGGAGCAAGATCTTCTGTCGATTGCTTTTGAGAGTATGGATAAGCGACCTAAAATAATCAATGATAAACATAGACGACAAGGTTGTACGGAGATGCTCAGTGCACACGAAAAGAAGAGTTTGTATTGTGCTTCGAAAGTGGGCAGATCGCGCTGATTTCTATTGCCACATTGCCCTTGTCTTGCAAAGCTATCGTATGTCACCGCGCCCCTCCCATCCCTTCCCCTCCCCCCATCCCATCCCATCCTCCCCCCCTTCCTCCTTTCCTCCCCCTTCTCCCTCCTCCTCTTCTCATCCCAGGCGACTCCCCCCACCTGCCCATCGACACCGTCCCAATTAAAAAAAAAGTCAAAAAATCAAAAAAAATCTCCTCCATCAATTCATCGTCTCGCGATCGGTCGGTCCGAGGTGGGTGGAAAGGCCCTTGACACTCACATCCAGCCCCTGTCCTCGTTATCCCCTTGACAAACCTCCTCCCCCTGTCCTGGCCCCTGACAAACCTCCTTGCGCCTGTCCCGTCTCTGTCGACCCTGCCCTGACATCGGGATCCGGCGCCTGTCCTTTGTTTGCTATCTACGTGCCTTGTTTTGCTCCTCCGTCGCTTTGCCTTGCGCTTGTCTCGTTTGCTGGTGGATTCGTATCGTGGGCGGCTATGTGTTTCGTGTCCTCTTTGTTGTTATGTTGGGTTGGGTTGGGTTGGGTTGGGTTGGGAATGCGTAGTGTCATATAGCCATGGGTGCAGCATGGGTATGTGACTCGGCGGCAGCGTGGAATTAGATGTGCTGGAGAGGTGTGGTGTTTGTAGATGTGCCGGTGCTACGCGAGGACTTGGCTGTCAGGATATGAGCCTGTTGTTTGAGCGTGAGTGTGGATACGCTGGTGTGTAGTAACATTTGATTTGTTGCCATCGGTAGGTAGAAGTTGGATTGCCAGTGAAGATGTCTCTTTTGGAATGTATGCCAGATTGAGTTGGTGAGTCGCATCGTTTGATGAGATGCTATTGCCATGTTGATATGTGATTGTTAGAATGGTTGCCTTGATGGATGCGTAGGCCAGTATACGCTCGTCCATAGATTTGTATGCAAGCTGTGCCATGGTCGAAGACACGCTTGATCCCTTTGAATGTCGCCAGATTGAAAGTCGAGCATCGGTGTAACAGGTGATGCTGTCTGGCTGGCGTATGATGGATTGCCAGGTCGCTGTGATTGGATGCAGCGAGGTTGCCATGAAAGCGCGCTACTGACGTGGGTTGGTGGTGCAGTAACGATGCTTTGAATATGAATAGTGCCATAGAAATATGTTGTGATAGTGATATGTGGTGCCATAATGATATCGTGAGCCGTCCCGCGGCACTAAGAATGTCGTGGGCTAGTAACATGTGCCGGATAAGAATGGTGGTGATAGTAATAGTGCCGTAAAAATAGGTTGTGATAAGAATGTCTGGTGCCATAGTAATGATTGAATAAGAATAGTGCCGTAAGAATAGAGTTGGATAAGAATAAGTGACGCTGCAAGCAGATACACAAGGAAATGGTGCCTCCTGGCTCCGAGGCGCTTGTCATTGCTGCCTAGCACCGCAGCGGTTGTCGAAGGTACTACCTGGCACCGTAGTAATTGTCGAAAGAGAAGCCCGAACTCCGGTGTTACTGCCGGAGAACGTCACTTGACTGAGGGCGCTCTGAGGATGCTGCCTGGCACCGCAGCGGTTGTCGAAAGTACTACCTGGCACCGTAGTAATTGTCGAAAGAGAAGCCCGAACCCCGGTGTTACTGCCGGTGAACGTCACTTGACTGAGGGCGCTCTGAGGGAAGCCTCCTGGCACCGAGGCGATTGTCGTACCATCTGGCTCTATGGTGCTTGACGGGAAGAGAAGCCCGAACCCCCCGGTGGGACGGCCGGGGGGAACGTCACTTGACTGAGGGCGCTCTGAGGATGCCTCCTGGCACCGAGGCGATTGTCGTTTGGTGCTGCCTGGCACCGCAGCTCTGGTCGATAAAAATAGGCGAAAAAATGATGCTGACTAGTAATATCTGACCCAAACGACAAACTCCGACAACGCGACTGCCTCAATTAGTACGTGAAATCGGTGCAACTGCCTCAATTAACTAACAACGACGATAAAACTGGCTCAATTAGTACGTAGTCTTGGTGCAACAGGCTGGAATAACTCACAGCGGCAATAAAAACGGTCTAAAAAAAAGAAAAGGCGATCAAAAAAGGTTCGAAAAGCCAGCTTATTGCTGGAAGCTGCCCGAGGCAGGACGATGTGCCAACCGAACGGTCGGCGGCAGGGAGATCTCGTAAGGCTCCCGGTTTCTACCGGGCGTATACACGCCGCGACGGGACGCGTAGTAGGCGGGGTGCATACGCACCCGCGCCACCGGGTTTCGTGGTTGAACTGCCTTGACGGCAGGCGAGGCGGAGGCCTCACGGTCCGAGGACCGGAAGCAGCGGAAGAGGCAGGCGAACATGGCGGCGGGTGAGGAGGAAGAGAGGGATTGGTGGTTGATTGGGCTGGTTGGCTGGTTAAAACTGGTTAAATTTGGTTGATTACTTGATCTAGCAGGTTTGTATGCTTGTGATTCCTATTCCAATTGTTAGCAAATGTACCGATGGATCCGCGAGATCGGGAGTTTGCTAGATGAAGTCATGACCGCTCCATGGAGAAGAAAAGAAGAGAGGGGGATGGGAGTCCCTTATATACCCAGCGCCTCTTGGTGGCGCCAGCTGTAAGGTTTGGCATATGGATCCGTGGCTGAAGAAAAAATCTGAAAGTGGATACAAGGCAGGTTTTACGGATGTCATAAAGCGGAGCGGCGGTAAGCCTCTTCCCACGATACGCAAGAGCCTGTAGAACTGAATTCATAGTGGATACGGGGCAGGTAGATATGTATTTTATATGCTAAACGGGCTGATTCGCCCTTCTGCCGATGTGCAAGAGACTGTAAAGTCTAACTCAAAGCGAAATCGTAATAGATATACCTAGTAAACATGGCGCAAGTGGCTGTAAATCTCATCTTAGGATATGCTAGAGACTATAGAACCTATGTTCCAAGCAGATACGCGGTAGACTTACCTGTCGCCTTCTGTGATCTTCACCAGGAAATTCTTGAAATGTGGGCAATAGTGGTTGAATTGCCACTGTGTGGAGCCCCTGATACGGTTTCGGCGACTTTCAATACGGTTTTGAGACGCCCTTGGCGTGCGCTATGATCATTTTGCGCCAAATGCCCGGTGGCTTTGGGGTAAAATTGGGGCTGGTGGGGGCGCTAGCGAAATTTTACGGGCTAGGCCACGCCCATACCCATAGAAAACTTACACCTGCCAGAAACTTTCAAATTCTTTACGCCACCTACGCCCTGGAATAGGATCAAAATTGACTGTTTTCACAGCGATTGACACCTTCAGCAATTGGAGGCAGCTACTGCTTCGGCCATAGTTCCGTCCTCGGCTGTGACTGCCTGGTGCGCAGAAGACTTGGCAACTGGAAGAACTTTGTTCCGAGGTCGCGCAAGCTCCTGCCCCACGTTTTTTATATTATTCACCCACGCTCCATTGTCCAACCATCTCTCACCACCTCCTACGACAACCTCCCAGATCCACCCCCATCATCGTTTACTCGCATTGATTTGGCAACATCAAGTATCGGGCTCATGCCCACCGCTCGCACCGTGTGACCCCGCGTGGTGCCGACGCGTCAAGAAAGCGCGTTACGTGAGTCTATTGCGACCCCTCCACCCCTTCCCTTCCAGGTGCCTACCACCTATAGAGAATGCCTCTAACACTGTCTACCTTCGCCTAGGATCCCTCAGCGCTCGATTCCATCTGCCTCCGCTCCCCTCCCCAGAACCATTCTCAATCCGCCTCGCGTTTGGATGATCACGCCCACGCGGCGTCCTCAATCCTCAAAGACTGGCTGCAAAAGATGACCCATATCGTACAAGATCTACGAAAGTTCCGAACAAGGGAAGGCTGTAGTTGGGCAGGCAGCAGTGCGCCTGGTGTCGCGTTGTGTGACACTACATACACAATCTCTGCTATATCTTCGGGAGAAATACGCAAACACTACGACAGACATCGACCAGAGATCTCCAGATCTTGGCAGCAAATCCTGGCCGCACCAGATGGAGGATCCTCGGGATCAGGAACTCATCAAGCTTAGGGCACAACTTGCACAAAAGGGAGCGGAACTTGAACAGAAGGGGGCGGAACTCGAACAGAAGGGAGCCGAACTTGACCAAGAGCGCGAGAAAACCCGGGATCTTGATACCAATGAGACCTTGAGCAACTGTCATGATCTTCTGCAACTGTCTCTTACACTCCCCAAGTCCCCAAAAGATGGCACATAGGGATTGACCTCAGCAATGAAAAAGCTATACCCAAACACCGTTCAGGAGTCTTCTCACCTCCGCGAACTTCATGCCACGTTCATTGATGAAGCTTTGAGTGTACTGAAGCCTCGCACAAATGGTGACCGCCGCTACTTTGCGAATTTGACAGAAATAATGGGTGAAGCGAGGCGTCTAGGTAATATGGTTGTCGCGTCTGAACGCTGTGCAGAGTACTGGGTGCATACAGCTGTCGAACAACATGTGATGGAGATTCTCGCAAAGATATGCGAATTACCAGAAGCTCGGGAGCAAACAAAGGTCGAGCACAAGATTCGCTCTATGAATCACGAGAGGCAACTGAAGGAATCTGAAATGGCTTCTCAGCCACCCCGTACACCATCTCCACCACGATCAGCTCTAGGAGAACCTACAAACCATGCCAACGCTCGCAAATCTTCTAATCAGGCTCAAGGAACAGCCTATGTTGCTTCAGATCAGATATGCGTGAAGAAATTTGCTGATGAACAGAATGGGCTAATGTTCGTCATGGAGTATAAGCCGCCTCATAAGGTGACTGCCAATGTCCTTCGACGGGGCCTCCTCAAGCTCCAGCACATCAAGCCAGAGATTCTCGATAATGTCAAGCTACCGCCTCGGGGTTCCAAGAAGCGACTGCTTGAAGAGACAGGGGAGGAATTCGACTCTCGCGCTCATCAAATTGTTGCACTAACTCTGACGCAGATCTACGATAAGATGGTAAATGCTCGGGTGAAATATTCCTACCTCACAACAGGTCAGGCTTATATCTGGCTGCAGGTTCCAAAAGATCAGCCAACCACGCTGAATTGGTATTTGAGTGTGCCAGGGGAACTGCCTCGCAGCGCCGAACCTGGTTTCGAGCTTTGTAAAACTGCAGTGTGCCAAGTTCTTGGCTGGTGCTTAATGGTCTACAAGCTTTTCAAGGAGCAACACTCGAATGAGTGGTTGACGGAGGCAGAGAAACGATTAGACCATTTCTAGTACGACGCGAATGATCAATTGGAAAATATTCCCGAAAGTGCCGAAAAACCAGAGCTCCACTTGCCATGGCCCGGGTCAAACTCTCGGAAGCGAGTCAAAGGCAGCAGTGGTGGCTGCAACGATAGCCAAGCCACAGTAAGAGACCCGGAGGATCCTGATGATGGGCCAAAAAGGACGCCCAACAAATTCCGCGAGGGGTCAGCTTCTTTGGGGACGCGATGGAATGATCGGAGGAAAAAGTCGAATTCAGAGACAGCTGTAAATCAGCAGCAGCAGCATACCAAACAACGATCAATGGAAAATGCGGCATACTGCACACAGGCTTGTCTTCAAGGGCTAGCTTTCGGACTTCCTGCCGATCGCACTTGTCCGAACTTCGCTCTACACCATGCTACAGAGTCACAACAACACTCCATTTCCGCGCCGCAGCTCGTCCGCCTGCTCTACTTACAACTCAAAGACAATCCTGATGCTGGTTGCTACGAACTCGGCATCAAGGGTGCTTGCGGGTATCTGTTCAAAATGGCCCTCCTCTCACATGGCTATGTCTTTGTCGGTAAAGGCACGATTGAGGAGCTCCTCGCACCTCTATTCCACGAAGCACGTATCTACAGACATCTCGCGTCGCTCCAAGGGCGCGTTGTGCCAATTTACCTCGGAGATTTCGCTTCATACCACCGCTTCCGCATCGGAGTCGGGATCGACCAAATCTGCCATTTTCTGCTCCTCTCTTATGCGGGGGAGCCTCTAGAAAATCCTTGCGACGTATACACTTCGGAAGTACGGGATCTCGTGGCAATGATACGCAAGAAAGGCGTAATTCATGATGATGTCGAGTCCCGCAACGTGCTCTGGAATGAGCAAGAGCAGAGGATGCTGGTGATTGACTTCTCCCACTCCCGAATCGTACCTGCGGACTTTGATAAGGCAAGGGAACAGCAGAGCAAGACGAGGAAATTGCCGTTGCAGGAGAGTAGTCCGAACAAGAAGATGAAGTCCGAGACTGGGAGGGCCGACGGCAAAGTCGGGACAGGCGTGATCATGCGGAGGTCTCAACGCCTTAAGGTCGCGGCTTGAGTGGATGCTTGGTGCGATTTTTTCTATTGTGAGTTTGCATAGCGTGCCGGATTGATGTTTTGATATTGTATGGATGGATGGACAGACTTGCGAAACGGAGCGAGCGTGCTTTTTCGTGATACCCCCAGGGATAGAGGATTGTTATGTTTGCATTGCATGCCATACTGTGATACCTAGATGAGAGCGGGGACGAAGCCAGAATAGACAGACTCATTGAGCTTATTGCTAGATATGAATGCATGAATTCTGAGTATGAATATGCCTCCAAGGTGCCTATTTTCCTGAAGGAAAGAGCAACCGTCCGCGTTGTTTTCCCGGGGGAACGCGCTCGTACACGCGGAGTCACGTGCTTGCTAAGCCTCCCTTTATTTTACATTTACATTACAAGTCCTACCTTACCACGTCACATCAAATATCTTGGTCTGCTCAGGATGGACTCGCGACCAATCCCATTGCTCAACCAAGTTCCCGCTAGCGCAAGCTGTGAAATGTAAATTGCAGAGCAATAATAGGGATGAGGAGTCGGAGGTCTATCTATGACATGTCGTTAAGCGCTTTCTTGGAGGAGATGAGAAGAGACTTGTTTATGAAGTGTGAGTGATGATGTTTACTGGTTCTGCGAGGTGTAGATAGATGTGTGGGTTATTGCGTATGTGGTTCTAAGATGGTGCGGGGGGGGGTGGTTGTACTTCGAGAATTGACGAATATGCGTGGTGCGAGGTGTGTTTGTGTTGATAAAGCTGTAGAGGATGTAGATGGTGGGGGATAGTGACGTTCGACTCGCTACAGCATGTACGTGACTCAGTACCTTTGTATGTGGAGGGGTATGTGAGGTACGACGACTATCACCGACCTGGTCTTATCGTCTTCTCGGCAGATGATTCATGCTTCGCTTAATTCAAGGGGTTTGCTCATATAGAAGGAGGAAGAGATGGCAAATGATGAAAATGCGGTCTAAGCGTCCTATGCTAACCTCGCACGCCGATAGTGGCGCTTGCAGGCGATACAGGACTAGCTAAGCAAGAATCATAGAGCAGCGAGGCACTGCCTATCGGGTTCTGGAAAGGTAGCCTAGCCCGCCACGGCTCGACACCTGAGATGTGTCTTCTTCCTCCTTACTATATAGACCAACTATCCAAGTCGAAGACCGCGTAGGGACAAAAGCGCTGATGTTTTCTAGAAAACGAAAGTAGAGACAGCGGACTAACTCCTAACCATGGAAAGGAGATCAAGTTTAGTCCAGCTCCGAAAAAAGCATCCTCGAAGTTTTCTGATACCCACGCTCGCTCTATGAATTTGTTTTCGCTCCTTTCCAAACTTTTGCAGATATGGTAGGTACTATAACTCTGATGTCGCCACTTCTTTGTTATGTGCTGAATTAGATAGCAAGCCGCATGTCATCTCATCGATTGAGTGGCAGCGGACTATTTGAGTGTACGCAATAACCTGATCGAGAAAGAGGAGATGAAAGTAGCCTCGATTCCGGATGCGTTGTCTAAATCCACGCAAGACACAAACACAATGTGGCCTTCTCCCTGCTTTGCATCGTCTCTGAGCCTAGACCGCGCGGTGACTCGATTGTTCAAGGATCATACAATGACCCGCTACAACAGCTATCAAATAGCTCTGAAATCGCAGAGTAAGCAAGCCCAGCGACGACATTCTCCTCTCTTTCACTGCACAGCAGTCCCATTACCCGCTTGCCCCGCACGATCCCTCCTCAACTTCCCAAACATATCATGCATCCTCCTCGCCTGTCCAGGCGTAAAATGATCCATACTAATCGCGCACATCATTATCGGCTCATAACCTCCTTCCCAAGCGCCATCTTGACACTCACCACTTATCATCCGCATACCCCATAAAATTCCTCAAATCATCCGGGCCCTTATGCTGCTTCGGACAACTATTCGTCCACGGATCCGGACAATCCGCCCACTTCCTGCTCTGGGCGGGCGTATCATCCACATAATCCCCCGGCCCGTCGCAGGGGAAGACGCTCTGACTTAAACTCTCTTGACTACCACCGAGATTGTCCACCCCCCAAGGATGCAGCAGGCCCATCCAATGCCCAATCTCATGCACCGCGATCTTGCCCTCCGCTTTCTTCGGCACTTGCCCATACAGCTCCACTTTGATCTTCGGATCCGGGTTCGGGTGGTATCCGCCCTCGGTCTGGTTCCAGCGGTGGCCGCCCGGGAGGAGGGCCATGTCGATGAGGCAGCGGTCGTTGACAATGTCGCTTTCGGGGCGCAATAGTACTTGCGGCAGATTCTCCGGTGGGAAGGGATAGGTGCATGCGCCTGCGGCGCCCGTGATCTGTTCGAGGTTCGGGATGAAGAGGATGGAGAGGGTCGTCCAGTCGCCGGCACGTGTGTAGTTGATTTCGTACTCGGCGAGGTTTGCGGAGCGGGGGTCGATTTGGTTCGTGAAGTTTGAGAGGGTGAAGGTTATGGAGTGCGGGTTGTAGGCTGCGTTGATTACGCGCATCTGCAGGGTAATATGTTAGCTTCTTGCAAAGTACTTGGTAGAGAACAGGTAGGGACGATTGAAGACCTGCTCATCTATGACATCTTTCTTGACGCTATCTGCCTTGTCCGCAACGATGGCAATGATATTGACGTTGATATTGATGCTGTTTTGCTGTTGTCTTCGGCGGATTTTCGGCTGCGTACTGACTCGCCTTCGGATTTGTTGCACTGATGGTGCCACGGGGTTTGTGCTAGAGCGGAAACTACAAACAGGTGCATTTGGCGGTAGCGTGAGTGCTCGAATACCTTGAAAGTGGAGAAAGCAAAGTGAAATGGAGGATAGCACTAATAGTCTCATTGTTGCAATGTATGATGCTCATGCAGGATTCCATTCGAGATACGTGCTCATAACATTGTATATGGCTATTGTAATCACTGTGTGACCCGTGTTTATAATTGTAGCTCTAGTGAGATGATGCGCTTGAATGGCCCGTCCCAATTCAGCCTCAAACAAATCTACGAGCCTTATTCTATTCTTGAATACAATGTTCCGCAGGGCTTATGACTACAGTTATCTGGTAATTCTAAGCTTTCTAATGCTTGTGACTCTTTCTGCAGGTGATAACGCTTAGGGTTTTGGAGCGATACTAAAATCCCACTCCATTTTCTTTATTTAGCGATGTCAGATCAAGAGCCAATCTTCGACTAGATTGTTATACAGTACATCTTTAGCTCGTCTGGAAACTTGTTGAAGTTAGCATGGATTGGGCTTATTCCCTCGGAGACGTATAGATACGCATTACTACTAGTTGCAGAGCCGAGGGTTGTAGGGTTTTAATTAAGTCCACAGGCTTCTTCTCCCGCGGACGATCAGAGAAGCATGGCATGTGCGCGTAAAGTCATGACAGCTACCCTCTTCTTCCTTTCCCGAGGCAAACGCGTCTTATTAAACAGCTATCGCTGGCAGAGAAACGACTGGGTTTCAAATTAGTGAATGCAAGGCTTGCAGCACTAGCATTTCCCCATCCCCCAACATTAGTATAGAGAGAGAATAGCAATAATTATCTGCGTAGCGTGAATATGATTTGTTGTCTTGCAAATCATATTGGCATTCAAGATACGGTATGCCGGCTGAATTTGGATAATATCTTGCCATCGGTCCAGTCGTATTTTCAAGGTCACGACAGAGTATATGTTATCAATGAAGTGGTTTCTGCTCCCACTAGCCTCATTTCAGATCTTTATAGGTAGTTTAAAATTAATACACGTTGTCGCAAATGAAGACTTGCTAAGAATGGAGTGCTTGTAGTCGCTAGGATTACTCACACAGTTGCGATTGTATTACATGCAATGCGGCAAGTAGTATGGTAGGCTCTCAGCTATTTGAACTCGTCTGTTCTGGGTATCTAGAAATGCTTATGCTAATAATGGGGAATATGGATGCTCTACATAATCGTTCCCTATGTGGGTACTGATATTCCACGCTAGAAATGAATGGCGACTCTCTTGTGCCGTACTGATCATCCGGCAATCAAGAAATGCACGCGCGTGCACACAATCCTCTATCCCCTTCGTAGTAATATTTTCTCTCCCTTGCGCAATTCGTCACCTGCCCTCACCACCTTGCTCCAAGCGCGCTTTTTTCCTTGCTTCATACTCAGGGGAGAGCTCATCTGTGACAGTCGCATTACTCGAGCCGCTCGCATTGGAACCAAATGACACAGAAGTCTGCGCGGGAAGGGAGGAGCCTGAATTGCTCTTGTAAGACTTGCCGGCGGATTTTCTATTCGCTTTCTCGATCATATTGTCCCTGTGTTTTTTGGCTAGGAGCCGCGTATTTCGGAACATTATAGCTCCTTTGCGGAAAGTATCGGCAGATCCTATCATAGCGAATGCTCCTAGATAGTGCATATGAATATGTATCTTCTGTATCTTGCTACTTGCTGCGCGGATCCCCGAGCGATAAAGACAATTTATCGCTAAAGTTGCGTCAACCCCGTGGAAAGTGCATACGAATGTGCGTGCATAATCGTATATTTCGCTAGGATCGGCATAGTTCATCAGAGCGTTCATTGCCCGCTCTCCCAGTGCTCCATCATAAAACGTTTGCCGTCTACAGATGTCAGAGTTGCCGGCGGGTCCCTTCCCCTCTGCAAAGAAATTCGGCAAGCATGGCGCGTTGGGCTTCCCCGACGGTACGATATACCCAGTCAACGACTTACGGACCTTTAGATCAAGATCATTAGGAGCATTTCCATCCCAAAAATTAGGCTGCGCGGCACTTAACCTGTCAGTTTCAACGAGGGGTTCCAGCCTGTTTAGCCGAACATTGGTTTCGTTTGGAATATCCGAATTCCCTGTGACAACCGGAAAAGACTTGCTCATAACTTTATCTTCCGAGTGTGCATCAATATGCGTCTTCTGCTATTGCTGAAAATTTTCGTCTGTGAACTGAGTTGGTGATAGAGATCGACGAGGCTCCATAAGTTGTCTTTGAATCTCTGCCAAGTCTTTGGGAGTTTCCAAACAGCCCTTGGTTGCACCGCCACATGGACTGAATGCTGGGTAGATGTTATTATCTATTAGAATACGCTCAAAGTGCGGATTATAAGCTGATGATGCTTGAGTTTCTGGCTCCCAAGAGTGCGTTCTCTTCTTGGCTCGGCGCTGATTCTGCGAGTCTTTGGGGGCCATTGATGCCGAGGAGTCTGTTGAGCATACAATCGCGTGCTATCAGTGAATTAGTAAATAATTCAACAGTAACATGATCAACTTACACCCCGTATGTCACTCAAATCGGGGCCTCCGTGCCTGGCAAACTGCGTGAGAGTCGCGTGTGGAGAAGTACTCGGGTGTGGAGAAGGACTCTGCTTGGATGATTGGGACGAAGCGGAAAGGTAATCGAAATAGCGTGTCCTCCGATTGTGCTCTTCGATCGCATGAGAGGAAAGATAAACTTTAGATAGTTTGTCCCAGGCATTAGGAGGATAGCATCCTGCGCGTGTGTTTTCGGAGAGTGAGGAGCTGTCACTGATCTGGCTGCGACGCCGTTTGCGATCACGAGGAAGGACGCTGGGAGTGAGGAGCATTTGATTTCGACATCTGGCGGGCTAACTACATGAGAAGATGAGGTAGTAATGGGGGCGGGAGCTTGACGGGAAGGTGAAGGTTGTGATAATGAAGGAACAGACTCTCAAGTGGTACAGGAAAACGTCGCGGAATTAAAGCGCATTCGCTAACCGAAAGCGGCTTAGCGGTCTAAGTTGAGCCCTACCACTGCCAAGACGTTGCGGGGCTGAGCAGGCCAGAGATTTCATGAGCCCTTACAATGGAACATCCTTTGCACTTATCAAGTTTCCTGCATTTTGGAATAAGGCAAACGACAATTCTCGTTAGGATTACTTGGTACAGTGCTCGCTTGACTACCCTGGCCAGAATAATTTTCAGAAAATCTACCAAGATCTTCACGTCTTAGATCTTACCCTTGAGCTCCCACCCGACTTTCATAGATCTGGCAAGCAGACAGACTCCGGCGCCAATAAGAAGCACCAGACCGGCAAAGAGCTGTAGGCCGAGAAAGTTGTCAGTAATGTCAGTCTTTTTACTATGCAAGATGGCACCGCCAATAGGAGTCCCTATCAATACGCCAAAGCTAGCCAGAGATACACACGTACCAAACCTTGTCCCTACGACACCAAGGTCCGGCGACAAAGCCATCACAGCGGGAGGCGGTAAAGATAGAATTCCACCAAAAGCAAAGCCATACACAAGTGCGTAGACGATTAAGCCCGCCAAGTTCGTGACTGCTGGCCAACATAAGGTTACAATACCAGCCCAAGCGAGAAGTAAGCTGAATAGATTGAGTACACCTGTCTTGTTGGCTACGAAGCCGGGGACGATCCGTCCTGGGATGGCACCTGCGTTCAAGATCGGAAGTATGTATGCTGCCATATTCGTAGATGCCATAGGTGGTGAATGTGCTTTGAGAGCATGCAGTTGAATGTAGAAGGTAGGGATATAAATTCCGATAAGAGCAAAAAAAAGGCTGATCGTGTAGAGTGCAAATGGGGGCTCCCGATAAGCTTTAAAGTCGAAGAGAAGCCGACGTTTTGGTGGCGTGGAGCGGACCTTCAAGAGCGCACAGGAGACTAGGCTAGTTCCAAGTGCAAAGAAACCCAATATTCGAACAGCCCATGGAAACCCTACGCTCGTATAGTTTAACAGCCGGTACAGGAGAATCGGATATATGGTACCACCTGAAATCACTGTAGTCAGAACCATTCAAGTTCAAGCTATACAAGATACTTACCAAAGCTAGCACCGCTTGCAGCTAACGCATTTGCCAGAACACGTCTCTGCGAAAACCACTGTGGCAATATGGAGACCGACGGAATGAACAGACAGCCCATGCCAATACCAACGATTACCCCTAATCCTGAGCATCAGCTAATACACCTTCCGTCATCCAGCTTAGAGAAGACATACCTTGGGCGAGAATAATCTGCCAAAATTTCGAGGCCAGACTTGTCATCATAAATCCGAAAGGAACCAGTACTGTTCCAGTCCAGATGAGCTCCGTGAAGAACCCGGCGTCATATGCCGGTCCTGCCAGAATACCAACCCCAATCAATAAGAGGGCTTGAATCGAGCCAATCCAGGATATGACGGAAGGACTTTGGGGCAGTTCCTGCTCGTAGTAAGTTTGAAAGACTCCGAATGCATTCGATAGGCCCCTAAATATCCTTCGCGTTAGTAGGATATCAAACCCGTTGGGACTGTGGTGACCTGACCATGAATTGAACCAGCAGAAGAAAACACCCGCAACCTGGAGCCATGCTTGAAGACCTTTGTCTGGGGGTGGTGGAGGTGACTGGCCTATATCTGAATTATCTGAATTAGGCTGAGCCGTGGACTCGAGCTGAGTCTGCGAGCCCTGCTCTTCATGTGATTTCATAGTTGAATCTTTTAGTGTACGCATCCGCTGTACATTGCAAGTTGGGAGTCTCAGAGAAGAGATTTTTCAGAAAGAAACCAGTGCTACTGACAAACGGAAAGAAAAGCAGTATTGCAAGCAGGCAATGGTAGCCTTATGCAAACATTGATCAAGACCGAAGGATCTCCCCTTACTTCCACTCCGAGTCATGTCAATGCGCGTGCTGCATGCGCAACCCCGCCACATCGCAATGCGCCGCCAAAGCCCAATGGGCTCTGCAGGGCGAATCCTACTTAATGCAGGATGCAACGTGCCCGATTTCTTACAACGCAGCCTCAACCTCCACTGCAGGTATGAGTTCAGCCTTTCTCAATCCTTCTACAGCGGTACAACGCACGTAGATCGTCGCATGAACAGTTTGTTGCCACATCTTCGGTGAGAAAGCAATAGTCTTATCAACGACTACTGATTGGTAGTATCCACGCACGAGGCGCACATTCTTTCCTCCTAACCCTTGACTTTGATAATTGACTGGATTCTATGCCTCGTACACCATCTGGATGATGAGCATGATGCTACCTTGTTGCTGTCATTTGGTGCACGCTTGAACGGCCCCCCGGCTGACTCTCCCGTCATTGTTACTCGACTAGCATCACCACTGAAGAGATGTATGTAATTCTGTACCCATTCGAAAGCAAGACGCTGATCGTACAGTCCCACATGTGCGGTACCTTTCTGTTGTAGCCTCGGGCTCGCAAGCCAACCAAAAGCTCCAAGCTAGCAACTTCGGCTTTCCGCTCAAAGACAACGCAAGGCAGCGTGCCTCTCACTCGGGAGTTTAGAAGAATCACAATGGCCCCTTCTAGCACTTCTCTCCGACTTGCCTAAATAACGCCAGCGCCGTTACCGTAGCTGGTCTTGTCACCATTCGAGTAGCCCCCGCCCTGGATCCAGACCAAGGCTGGAGAACCACGTGAGTTTTCCGCCTTATGGCAGTTGAGAACACGCTCAGGCACGAAGATGTCTAAGAAGACGCGGTCTTCAGTTGTTCGTGGATCGATTGATGTTGCATTCGCCCAATCCTCCCATCATCAATTCACTCGTTGCGGCCCTGAGGCGGCTTGGGCTTTGTGAACCGGAGTTCACCCAGCGACGGCTGCGCATAACGCACATTTGAAAAGATGTTGGGTGCCCAAAGCCTTTTGCCATAAAGGCGTTTGTCTGACTCATGTGGAATGCATTAGCTCTCTGGAATTGATAGCTGACTGAGGTCGACGATTGGCAGCCGAGGACCCGCCGTGCAAGTGGTCCAGCCTGCTGATAGAAATAGACTGGCCAGCAAAGCCTTTGAGCGAGTCATGTTTTCGTTCTCTGATTAGATGACTTAACCCAGATTCTTGGCCAAAAAGCTCAAGGGCAGTGAATCCTTTCGGACCCTGCAAATGCCCTAAAGACTACCCCGAATATAAGCCTATAGACCTGAGAGCCTAATCGACAAGGCTAACGTCTATCAAATGCTAAGGTTCGTTCAACGCACGCCTACGGCACTCCAAAGGAACGAGAAAATAGAACATTGAGGGAGCTAGATTCAGTGGCGTTACGAAGGTAACTCATACAAGGATTCTCCGTAGGCCCACTTTCTTGCATGAGGGCACGGTAAGAGACCTAAACACACCAATTTTCGGACCCGCTTCCTGCCGCGCCAACGATACTATTCCCACATATGACAGGCTCACGTTCATTTGAGTTTGAAACGATCAAAGTACTTACGTTGGGCGGATGGTACGCACCGGACCGCTTGACGCCCATGACATCTCCGCAGGAAGCGCCTTAGAAAAGCCTTTCTAGAGATAGGCCCGTACTAGCATCGCCTGACAGATAATAAGGCATTACATTTCTTGCCGAGGGAAGTCCCGGCATATAGTCGCCTATTCAGCCTGCTGCTGGATCCTTCGTGCTCTGCAAGGTGGCTCCTCGGTAAGGCAAGATAGCGAATGCTGCAGGGCCTTGCGCCTATGGTGAACCGGTGTGTATGCAGGTGCTAGGGCCAGACTTTCAATCTGCACGGGGCTAATGCAAGCCAAGGCGTCGATCCGGCGATCGATTGCTCTTGTCCGGTATTTGACAGGGACAAGAGTAGCCAGCTACTGTTATACACGACAGCATGCAATGTAACAGCGTTCTTCGTGCTCACTTCATGCAATTCTCAATGGCTGTTACACCCGAGTGCTACAATGGTACCTTGCCACTGGGTGATCAACTTCTCTTGCTAGGCTGATAATCGTCTTGTCTGCCCTCCAGTGAGGATCCTTTCCTCGCGGGTCATGTTCTACCATCTAAGGGAAGCCACGGCTTTGCGATTGTCTGGCTAAACGCACCTTTTGCTCTACTGTCGAGCTTTCGCTCTCAACGACTGACCTGGAAGTCTTCCCAGGATGGCGAGTCAACAAAACAATCGTACCACTGAGGTCGTACTTGTGAATGCCGTCTTGTTCTCCTTGTCAACTCTCGCTGTATCTTTACGTCTTATCTCAAGATGGATGTCGGCTGCGAAATTATGGTGGGATGATGCCTGTATTGTACTAGCTTGGGTATGGCCTGGAGCATGCTGAAGCTACTTCTAGAATATGGCTGAAATACCCACAGATATGTTTGGTTGGCTCAACAACACTCACTTTCGAAGGTGAGTTGTTCCAGTGAGGCCGTCGATCGAGTCGTTAATCGATCGTATTTTAGCTGCATCGAAAGGCGTAGGAAAACACGTAGAAGAAGTGACGGCGAGGCGACTTGTTGCCCAAAACAAGGTCGAGCACCCTCGACGCACACAGTGTTTTTGGAAACTTACATCTCCGCAAGATCATTTACGGGAGTGAGGTTCTTTATGGCCCTCATATCACAGCGATCAAGACATCGATATTGTTGCTCTACCTCCGCCTCTTTGGAGTTCGAAAAGACTTCAGACTTTTCATCTTCGCCGTTCAGATCTTTGTCATACTCTGGTGCGTCGCCAATCTTTTCGCAAGCATCTTCCAGACAAATCCAATCTCTGGCATTTGGTACTCCCAAAAACCCCAAACGCATGTCAATTACACCAAATACCTCGTGGGCTTGGCCGTGCCAAATGTGTTGGCAGACTTTGTGATACTTGTGATGCCCATCTCAATGGTATGGCAACTGCAGATCTCAAGGAGTCGCAAAGCAGGACTATGCAGTGTCTTTATGCTAGGAACATTGTACGCTGGTAAAATCTTGATCATCTAGATTTGAAGACTGACGGCAACCTGCAGCGTCTGCGCCGTCAGTATCATCCGTACTCATTCGGTTGCAAAGGTGAATAAAGCTGATGCTTCATGTGAGAGCGCTGCCTCCACGTATGGCTGTTCGCTGGGCTAATCCAAATGTACGCAGATGCCTTTGCAGATACACTCCTCTGGTCCTCTACCGAGGTAAATGTCGGTATCATTTGCGCATGCCTCCCTGTGATCAGACCGACTATTCAGAGGACTTTCAAGAGCATGCGAGGGCTTAGCCACCAATTCAGGTCTAACGTTTCTTCTTCCGGCAAACATACGACGCAGCATAGCGAAAGCGAGACCAGGCGCGCCAAGGCTCCTTTCCGCAGGCTTGACGAGAATGTCGTTGCTCTTCCGCCAAAGGTATCTGTCAGTAACGCCTGGATATCTGGAGGCATTGACCCCTGCGACGGAGATGAAATCAATCGACCAAAGACCATCCCTCTGAATGCTATATACGTTCAAAAGCACGTCAATTTGACGTAATGCAAGATTCGGCGCTTAGGCTAAACCCGACCGTTTTGATCAAGGCTTGCAATATGCTTTATAGAAGCGCTTACAGATGATCGTTACAGCCGTGCTTGTCTTGCTACATACACTCTGTGCATGTGTGAATGCGTTTCTCATGTTTCAAAATAGTCGGCCTCATTAGCAGAGCACGTAGCCTCCATCTGAAATTGGATATTCTCGGGCTCCCTGTCATAGGGTCCTGAATGGATCTCTTGACCCCAACTGATGAAAAGGAAGTAGTCATGATTTCGAATTATCAAATAAGTCAAACTAAAAAGCCCCTTTCAGGCTTAAATTGTGCTTTTAAAAAGCTGGTAGAAGATCAAAACCGCCACAATTATTTGCTCTAAGAAGTACATCTTGATTCTAATTGAAAGAAAAACACGATTTCGCGGTAGTAGGAGATGCAGCTTTTTTTGCATATTTAGTACTCTACGATCATTCAAGCGAATCGAGTATATGCAGCACTTGCACCTAGTCCACACTTCACATTCAATCTAAAACCACCCGCTTGGCCTGATAGAGAGTATTGTTACTCACTGTCGAGCATGTACAACCCTGCACCACTGTCCACTATTTGTGCTCTTTGATTAAGCCACATACGTTGCCAGTCAAATCGGACAGTCTCCACGCGAGGCTTCATGAGCCTGGTCTTTGTCAAGCATACGATATTCAAAAGATTGCATGGTGGCGGGGTTTCGGATACACGCTGCACTGTGATCATCTGTAGAGTATGGATTCATGCTTGGAGCGCAAGGAAGACGGTGTTGAAGGATTTAAAAAGCAGGCTACGCCGCGAATATAGCCTTACTTCTTCCAAGAGAAGTGACCCTAGGTTTTTTATGTATGCATGCCTACCTATAGCGCTGTTCTTATAGTTTGGCGATTCATGCGGAGTTTCATATTGCATCATGTGAGCAGCCTTGCGCGATGGTAAGCTGTGTTTGTGACGCCTCAGACGTGCCTCAATGACGAAGCAGACAAGGCCCGATCTACGGAGATCATCGATATATAGTCCAGGATGGAAAAAAACATCTGTCTCGAGAGCAAACTTTCCTCACATTCCTGCGACACTCAAAACATCAAAGATCTATTCAGTGCCCTCAACCATCCTGAAGCATGTCATTGAGCCTCCAGCCTCTCGAGTCAATATTTTTGAAGGAATGGAGCCTTCTCATGGATTTTGTTCAGAGTCCATCCCAGCCTATTCCTATCACG